TTAATAGAGAAATATTTGAAAAGCAATTTTACTTTTCATTTCTTAACACACCATTACTCTCTTTCCTTTTGTTTGGGATGGGCAGGTCTTTCTGATGGCTGGCAGGAAAAGAAAAAAGTGCAAAACGTCCAATTATTTGATATCAGTTGATCCTACAGATTTATCCAGAGATACTGACAGCTACATTGGAAAATTAAGGTTTGTGCCATAGCAGTGACACATCACAAATCTTTATGCTTGTGAAGCAAATCCTTAAAACATGGTTTGTCTTCTCAGGTCAAATGTCTTGGGGACTAAGTTCACTGTGTTTGATAATGGTGAGAATCCTGAAAGGAAACCATTTATTAAAGAAATGGATACACTGCGACAAGAGCTAGCAGCAATATTTTATGTAAGATGGTTGTTGTGTGCATTAGATAAAGTGTACAGTAGGTTTCAATTGTAATTAATTGTATTTGGTTGTATATTGTATTTAGTTGTATTTTGTATTAGTATTCACCATACAGTAATTTTATATGTTTTTTTTTATTGTAAAATTCTTACTTTTTCTTTAATGTCACACAGGAAAAAAATGTTCTGGGTTTCAAAGGTCCCCGCAAAATGACAGTAATTATTCCTGGTATGCACGAAAATGATGAGAGAGTCGTTATTCGACCAAAAAGCGTAAGTTGTTCATTAGTTAATAAAGTTTGGATGATCACTAATATAATAAACATGGAAAGATTTAATTTCAATTTTTAAAAAAATATCTTAATCTTTGCAAGGCTGCATTTAATTGGTCAAATGCTATGCAATGCCACATAACTATTGTGAAATATTAAAGTTTTATATATGTGTATATATTTATAAATGTAATGAACCATGATATGTTATTTTTCAGGATTCTTTGATTAATAGAGAGGTCAAAGAACAGCAATTACTTGTCTTTTTATTCACAACATTATAAATTTAATCAATAATTTATAAACATTCAATATCTCTTTTGATTAATTTAATAAATCTTTGGCAAAAAAAATTATAGTTTAAAAAAATACATTTTTATTCTAGATATCCTTACACTTTTAATGAGTAGTGTATAAGTATAATATCCTGAAATATTCAGTCCCTCCATCATATTGCAGGTTTATTTATTTTTCATTCATTCATTTTCATTTCGACTTTGTCCCTTAATTAATCTGGGGTCACCACAGCAGAATGAATTCAATTCAATTTAATTCAGCTTTATTTGTATAGCGCTTTTACAATGTAGATTGTGTCAAAGCAGCTTCACATAAATGGTCATAGTAACTGGAACAGTGTGGTTCAGGTTTTAGTGTTTAAGTTCAGTTCAGTTTAGCTCAGTTCAGTGTGATTTAATCATTACTGAGAGTTCAAACACTGAAGAGCAAATTCATCGATGCGTAGCTCTACCAATCCTGAACCATGCGAGGCAGTGGCGACAGCGGAGAGGGAAAAAAACTTCACCTGATGGGAGTGAAGAAAGAAAAACCTTGAGAGAACCAGACTCAGTTGGGCACGACAATTTTAATTTCTCCGCTGGCCAAAACTCTTGTGCAGAGCTTCATTCGCCGTGGTTGAGGCTGGAAGATGGCCTCAATGAAGACTCGTCTGTCCCTGGAGCGTCGCTGGAATCAGACTCATGTTCTCCACTCCCCACGAACCATCAGCGCAGCAGCAGCTCAGGATATGGCCTGTTCCCGGATATGGAATCCTTGGGATCATCCGCCAACTTATCCAGCATATGTTTTATGCAGGTGATGCCCTACCAGCTGCAACCCATCACTGTGATACACTCTCATTCACACACACATACATTACAAACAATTTAAGCTTGCCCAGACTTGTACCGAATATTTTTGGACTTGTGGGGGAAACCATAGCACCCGGAGGAAAGACACGCAATCGCGGGGAGAACATGCAAACTCCACACAAAAACGGCAACTGAGCCGAGGCTCGAACCAGCGACCTTCTTGCTGTGAGGTGACAGCACTACCTACTGTGCCATACTGCGCAATATTATTATTTATATTAATAATATTAATAAATCAGTGTCACAGTAGCACAGTGGATAGCACGATCACCCCACAGCAAGAAGCGAATGCAAGATGTGAAGTATATGTAAATGCAAGAGTGTATGGGTGTTTCCCAGTGTTGGGTAGCAGCTGGAAGGGCATCCGCTGTGTAAAATTTATGCTGGATAAGTTGACAGTTAATTCCTCTGTGGCGACACCTGAATAATAAAGGACTAAGCCGTAAAGAAAATGAATGAATATATAAATGATATTAATAATTTTTTTTATCTGTGGTCTAAAAATTATTGATTTTGTGATGCCTTTCCTCAACACTTTTGATATTATTTGCTTCAATTATTGTTTTTTTTTTTATGTGAAAATACAGACAAACCTTGTAAAATGTGAAAAATGTTTGATCTCAATAACTATTGGACTTGCAAAATCCTGGAGGGACGGAATATTTATAAATTTAAAAAAAAATCTTCTTATGAGTTTGATTCACTACTGATTTATTTGTATGTATAGTAATACCATATTAATAATAAAGATCTACTTTGCATGTTCCAGGAGCTGGAGTCTCTGCTCACCCGATACGAGAACGGTAATAAAGAGAATCTTGTCACTCTAGTCAATAAATCACCCAGCTGGAATGAGCAAACTCAGTCGTATGTGCTTAATTTTCATGGCCGAGTTACTCAGGCATCTGTCAAAAACTTTCAGATTGTCCATCCAGATAATGGTATGTGTTTTTACTCGCAAATTATTTATAACATATGACAATATTACAGTTCCCAGTTGTGATTTTTTTTTTTGTGGCTCAACATCTCTCTCCAGTGGACTACATTGTAATGCAGTTTGGCCGGGTTGCAGACGATGTGTTTTCCATGGACTACAGCTTTCCCATGTGTGCTCTACAGGCATTTGCTATCACACTGTCCTCATTTGATGGCAAACTAGCATGTGAATAAGCTTTGTTTATGTGTATTATCTGTTCTTTTGAAAAAGGGAAACTTAGCAGTATTTTATGTTATTCAGTCAGGAATGAAAGACGTTTAGATTTGTATTATTCGCAAATGATGGCAGTAGAGCATCAATCTGCTTCTCTTATTTTGTTCTTATATGTTATGTGGTTAATTTGCTGAATTCAACTATGACTGTTTTATAAGCAAATAATGAATTATGCCATATTGTTTTTCTTTGTTTACATGAGAAAATTAAATTTTTCGTGTTAAATAAAAAGTTATATAAAGCTAACATGGAATATTATCTTTCATAAGATCACATTCTTAAGAGGATATTTCACCCGAAAATAAGAATTCTGTCATCACTGTGTGCGTTTCTGTTTATGTTACCTTGCCAGTTCCACGCCACCCAATCCGCTCCAAGCTAGTATCGAACCGGCGACCTTCCGCATGGGATTCGATTGCTCTAACAAGGAGGCTTAAAACCGCAAAGCGCAGAGCTATAAAAAAAAATCTAATTGTTGGGTTTGTATGTGTTTACATGCTAATCAGTAAACTAAAATGGTACTTTGAAAGACTTTTCACTATAATGCTCTTCTGGGAAGCAAAAACTTCTTCATGTCATCACTTTAAAATCTCCAGTTTTGGTTCTTCCTGTCAAATCTATTTTTAGGTTTATGATTTCCAGCTTTCGATTTTCTTTTCTTTCTTTATACAATTACTGATCTGATATCCGTTAAAACTCGCAATTCTGACTTCAAAACTCAGATTCTTTTTGCCCCCTACTGAGTGATGCACCCATGTGGATATGTAAGCCCGTTTTCGCCACTGAGTAATTTTTTTGAAGTAGTTATTGCATTCAGAATTTTAATAATAATTCCTTAACTTTATATAGCACTTTTCTGGACACTCAAAGCACTTTACACATTTTTTGGGGGGTGGGGGAATCTCCTCATCCACCACCATTGTGCAGCATCCACCAGAATGACGGCAGCCATATTGCACCAGAATACACACCAGCTGATTGGTGGAGTGGAGATAGAGTTATGATGCCATGATGGACAGAGGCTAGTAGGCAGCTTTGGCCAGGATGCCGAGGTTAACCCCTGCTCTTTTTTTTCAAAGGACATCCTGGGATTTTTAACGACCACAGAGAGTCAGGTTTAACATCTCATCTGAAAGACAGGACTCACTGACAGTATATTAATGTACCGGCGTGTTAGGAGACATACAGACAGCAGGTTGAGCTGGTCTCCCTAACACACTTGTGGCAATAACCTACAGTTGCTTTCCCATGTGGTATCCCATCCAGGAACTGACCTGGCGCAGCCCTGCTCAACCATGAGAGTTGCAGAGGGCTAGCTGCCGGCAATGCTAATTATAGCTGGCTTTATAACTCTTATGTAATAGCTTTATATAATTGTGACATATATCTCAGAATGCTGTCTTTATATCGCACAATTGCAACTTTATATTTCAGATTTCTGACAAAACCTGTAATTGTGAAGTATATCTCAAAATTCTTGCTTTATTTATTTACTCAGAATTGTGACATTTTATATCTCTGAATTGTGACTTTATCCTAGAATTCTGACTTCATAACTCTAAATTGTAACTTAATCTCTGAATTGTAACTTAGAGTTCTGACTTTATGACTTATATGTGAAAATTATGTCTTTATATCACACAGTTGTGACTTTATGTCTGAGAATTCTGACTTTATAACTCGAAATTTTGATTTTAAATCTCAGAAATCTGAAACAAAAAGCGGGAAAAGATAAAAACTGTTATTCTCTGGCGGAAATTGGCTTCCTTAAATAGCCTCAGTCGTGTCGCTCAGTAGGGGGCAGTAAGAGCCTTGACGGATTTGTCAGACATCCGCAAACTGATAGAGAAGAAGAAAACGGTAAAGTCATATACAGCGACATCGCCCCACACTGATCTCTAAACATAACCAGAGTTTATCCATATAGCATAGATATACACAGCATCTCTCAGCGTCCATCAATATTCTGCTCTGAAAGTTATTTGTGGAAGTTGGCTGGCGTGAAATGTGACTTTCAATGGAAACTCCCTCTTATCTGTTGTGAGTTTTGCAAGTTTATGGTCAGGAGACAGATGAGCTACACCTCTTAAAAACGGGAACATTTCATCTGAGCTGGCCATAAAATACATCGAAAATGCGGGACCGGACCAAAGAACTGGGCAATGTGAGTAATTTCAGGGCAGTGCACGCAGGAAACCGGCTAACTGGCTAACGGGCTAATGTTATTCAGCGGATGTAACTACTGTCACCACTGGCTCGACTGCGATTTATTAACTCCTTCAAGGATTGTAACGAGTCACAATCTATAGTTGTGTGGCTTATTTTCTTGTGTTGGAAAAATATATGGTTAAAGTCCACGAACGGTAGGCTAACACCCTCTTGCAGCACCAGCGCTCTTGGGTAAACGGGGTGTAACTTTATTTAGCCTACAAATAAATACAGCTGCCATGAATGGTTGCATTTGAATATTGATTTTAGTTTTTCTCACAAGAAAGTTAAGCGTTGAATTGGTACTTAACTTTTAGTTGTATTATTATTAATACACTGTCATTCGCTCGGCAATAAAGGTTTATTATCATCCGTTTGTTTTTTCACGTAATTGTGTTGTTGCAGTTTCTTCTGTGGGACTACATTTGCCTTTCGACAAACAAATACCTTTAAATGTCCCAAAGAGAGTCACAAAGGGTTAATTTCACAAAGTTTTTACACTAAATGTTGCACATACTGAAAAATATGAATCTCCTGTATATGGTTTTTACTTCGTTTTCCTGTAAAAGCAAAAAAACTATAATGTTAATAAATTCACACACAATAAAACACACTATCTGTCATGTTAACGTGTTTTTCCTTAAAGCTACTTTTTGTGTAATCCTAAATTAATTAAATTCAAATATATATTTTTCATAAAACATGTCAAGTAAATGTAAAATATATCTTGATTTAAGACTTTCACACATTTGCAAAACGACGAATATAGTGGAAGATGTTTTTTGTAATGTGATGAGAAGAGTAACATTTTTAATGGCTATTCAGTTTTGACTTTTTTTTGTAAGTTTAGAAATAACAGATCTGTTTACTTTTTTTTAAACTTTGAGGTATTATTTAAAATAGATATTTTGCTAACCTTATTTACCTTTATCTAAGCTGCAGAAACACTGTCTTGCACTTTGTATGGTGGTAATATTTTTAAAATATGATAACATACAATATAAAAATTTATTAATAACAATATTCTTAACTATATTCAGTGTCGTATTGTGTACTCTTTTACTAGACTGCTGATGCCTCAGATGAAGATGAAGAAACCGTAGCTCTAATGATAAAGCCTGGATCTGGAACCTCAGCAAATGAAGACAAAGAAAATGAAGCTTTCTTTAAAAAGGTCATTGTAGCACGATTGCTCTCATTTTAACTGCAACTTTCAATACTTTTATGCACTAGTTTTAGGGATCTGTACAGAAGTAGCATGTTGTTTCTGTAATTAATGATTTTTGAACTGAAGTGTGTATTGTTGGTTCTTGTATAATATAATTTAGAAATCCTGCAATTCTGAACTGTGATTTTCTACACTGCAGGTTTCTCACAAATACTGATTAGTACGGTGGCTGAGAGCGCTCAAATGTACTGCACCAACAAAAAACACCAATAAAAAAGCATTTTTTATCAATTATTAATGCAAAAAATGTACAAACAACAAGGAACCTTACGACCAGGACATTAAAATAACCATCAGACAGCAACCCTGACAGGCTCTAAACAGGAAGTAGCTGGGTTTGTCTCTTTTGGGGTTCCCTGACACATTTCTGTCATGTGCTCTTTGCATATGTGCATGTGTTGTGAGAATTTGCTTACACATATTGTCAAACGAATGAACACATTTTCTTAGTTTGGTTTTTCTATATGCATATCTTAGCTTACAGTACATTTGAGCTCTCTCTCCACCACCGTAGATTAGGAACATGCACATGCAAACAGTAATAAAGGAATGAAGCTGTTTAGTGTTTGTGCAAACTTCATGTAATGTCAAACATTACACATAAATTACATTTGGGTCACTTGAATTCCATAACATTTGTGCTTGGAAAGTTTGCATTGAAACTTGACATAAAAATATATTTTCTTTTTTCTATGTAGGTTCAGGAGATTCGAGAGGGACTTGAAACTCTTAAGAGAAAGGTTTCCGAATTGGAGAACAAGCAGAAAACAGTGCTAGGAGTTGCACTTCCAGAGGACAGTAAGTAATTTAGCTTTCACTTGGGTTTTTTATTATTCATTTACATAATCTTATGTTGTGTGTGTGTATTAATTAATAATTATGAAGAGAGTAAGTTAAAGGATAGTGAGTGAATGAGTAAATTATATTTTTCTTTGAGCACAGGTATGAAAAAGGAACTGCAGTCACTCAGAGAAGACATCAAAGGGATGGCCAGCCAGATCCAAAAGAAATTAAAAAGTGAGACTGATAAATAAAATTTTATAAATGAAGCTTTTTTTTTGACAATCAAACTTTTCTGCTCAACCTAACAAATGTGAAAAATTAATCACTTCATTTACATCATAGGTCTTGAACCTAAGAAATTGGAAGTTGAAGAAAAATATATCCCAGTGAATGTAAGAATGAGGAGAACTCAGGTCAGTTGCTTTTATATTTCATGTTTTAATAAATAATTAAACTTAAACAGTGTTGTTTTGCCTGAGAATAATCTGATCTTGTATGTCTCCTCATCATTTTTTGAAAGCATGGTGTTTTGTCCCGTGAATTCCTGGAACTGATGGGTCGCTGTAATACAATTCAAGCCCAATACAGAGACCGAAATGTGGAGAGGATTAAAAGACAACTCAAAATCAGTATGTGCTTATTCTGCTGTGCTTTTTTTCATTGATCTTATTAGCATTCTTACAAAGCCATCTTTTTAATGCACTGTAAGGCCTGGGACACACCAAGCCAATGGTCTGCTGTTGGACTTTGTCTGTCCGTTGATCAGGCTAGTTGGTTTGGTGTATTCTACGTGTCGACTCTCGCCGGGTTAACATTGTTCAATGGCCTGATTCAGTGTCTAGAATCGATGTCAGACCATAAGCTGAAGAGAGTACACTGACTGGTTATTCAGGAACGAATCAGAGCACGCGTGTGACATAGATAAGTCGTCTCCTTGGAATTATAAGGTTCTATCTGCATTCTGAATGATTTTGAAATATTGAACTTCAAAGTTTTTGCATTCCATTTGTTTTTTTAATTAAAAAGTCTTAACATGTAAACAACTAATGAAGAACATACCATGATGTTAGTAAGTTGTCATTTAATTAGAATATGTCAATAGCTCAATTTTGACAAAAATGTCAGATAGAACCTTATAATTCTAAGGTCACGAAGTGTTGTAGCAGGTAAACAATTCAAGTCAAGAAGGAACACTAAAAGGCTGGATGTAATTTCAATAAATTTCTCAAATATTTCCAACAATAATGCAATGATATGAATTATTAGATTATCAGACTGTTGCGCAGGCACAGAACGCGGCTATCATTTCAATGAGCTTTCGTCTGTTTGGTATGGTTACTCGCAGATTTTTGGGTCCATCAAGAACCTATGCAAAGTGACGAAACAGTTGGGTTTCATTAGCCGCATTTCCACTATCGGGCCAGTGCGAGCCAGGGCTTTTATCGGGCCAGGTCGGGCCAATAGCCCAGGAGGTTGAGCAGTGAGGCCGAAATCATGTCGCGTTTCCACTGTCGGGCTAGTAGCTCGCAGCACGTCATGCAAACCCAGCCCTCAGAACATCCTCCTAATCGAACGTCACCCAATCCGCCCACTTCAGCAGGAATCAGGCAGATAAAGCACACCACATGATTACGAAACTATTAAAATTAGGACAACCAAAACAAACAAATGACATGTTACTGTACAGCAGTACAATGTATGTCTATACAGAGAGTGCAGAATTATTAGGCAAGTTGTATTTTTGAGGAATAATTTTATTATTGAACAACAACCATGTTCTCAGTGATCCCAAAAAACTTATTAATTTCAAAGCTGAATATTTTTGGAAGTAGTTTTTAGTTTGTATTTAGTTTTAGCTATTTTAGGGGGATATCTGTGTGTGCAGGGGACTATTACTGTGCATAATTATTAGGCAACTTAACAAAAAACAAATATATACCCATTTCAATTATTTATTTTTACCACTGAAACCAATATAACATCTCCACACTCACAAATATACATTTCTGACATTCAAAAACAAAACAAAAACTAATCAGTGACCAATATAGCCACCTTTCTTTGCAAGGACACTCAAAAGCCTGCCATACATAGATTCTGTCAGTGTTCTGATCTGTTCACCATCAACATTTCATGCAGCAGCAACCACAGCCTCCCAGACACTGTTCAGATGTGTACTGTTTTCCCTCTTTGTAAATCTCACATTTGATGATGGACCACAGGTTCTCAATGCGGTTCAGATCAGGTGAACAAGGAGGCCATGTCATTAGTTTTTCTTCTTTTATACCCTTTCTCCCCAGCCACGCTGTGGAGTATTTGGACGCGTGTGATGGAGCATTGTCCTGCATGAAAATTATGTTTTTCTTAAAGGATGCAGACTTCTTCCTGTACCACTGCTTAAAGAAGATGTCTTCCAGAAACTGGCAGTAGGACTGGGAGTTGACTCCATCCTCAACCCGAAAAGGCCCCACAAGCTCATCTTTGATGATACCAGCCCAAACCAGTACTCCACCTCCACCTTGCTGGCGTCTGAGTCGGACTGGAGCTCTCTGCCCTTTACCAATCCAGCCACGGGCCCATCCATCTGGCCCATTAAGACTCACTCTCGTTTCATCAGTCCATAAAACCTTAGAAAAATCAGTCTTGAGATATTTCTTGGCCCAGTCTTGACGTTTCAGCTTGTGTGTATTGTTCAGTGGTGGTCGTCTTTCAGCCTTTCTTACCTTGGCCATGTCTCTGAGTATTGCACACCTTGTGCTTTTGGGCACTCCAGCGATGTTGCAGACCTGAAATATGGCCAAACTGGTGGCAAGTGGCATCTTGGCAGCTGCACGCTTGATTTTCTCAGTTCTTTGGCAGTTATTTTGCGCCCTTCTCATTACAGAGATGCACATCTAATATTCTTAATTGGTAGTAGGCTTTCGAGCCTATACAGCTTGGAGTAAGACAACATGCATAAAGAGGATGATGTGGTCAAAATACTCATTTGCCTAATAATTCTGCACTCCCTGTACACACATGCCTGTGTGTTCTCATTCATCGTATTCATTTACTCGCTGACCGACTGTTGGCATCGAAATCCAGTGGTCTTGCCACTAACGAAGGGACCCAGCGCAGGGAGCGCACACATCCATAATATAAAACCCCATATATAAAATTCTCCGTTAATAACTCGATATAAAATGTATTTTATGACATCCTCAGTTAGACAGACGATGTCCAACATTCATCCCAAATGCTCTGGAGAGAACTGAAACATGAACTTTTCCATATAGGCTTTTATGACACTTAGGTGATTCCCTTTATTTAAAGATGTTGCTTATCATATCTTAAGTAAAGGAAAGTGTTAAGTGTTTCGGCACATAAGAGCAGTACGTAATAAAATAGCCTATATTTCGTTGCGCTCAGCAGCTATGCACTAAGCTCTTTATGTACTTAAAATTTCCTTTTTTAATTTTACCACGTCATATAAAAACATACACACTTGTTTGAGGACACAGAACACATTTTGAACTTGCAATTTTCCCCGATGCGTCAAAAAAGTGCTGCGCAGCTGCAGACAGAAAAAAAGGTTGCCTAGTTTTTGCTTTCACTCACCCCGAAAATGCTGTGTTTGCATGATTTGATTAATATCATCGTATCCAAATACTTTATAAACAATATTTAGAACATTCTCCGGTGTTTATTGTTTTTAGAAAATATCTCAAATCTTTTTTTTCAGACAGGCTTTTGAAAAATGAAAGTTTAATATGGCTTTAAAACAGTTTGATATTGTGCCTAATTGTTATAGCTAGCTTTTGTTAGTTTTATATTGGTTTATTTATTTAATGTGATTTTATTATATGATATTTGTAATTCTTTAAATTATTTCATTATAACTTAGGCTATTTTATCTATATGACACTATTGTTTTGAGCCTACAAATGTGGACACGAAATTTCTAAAGTTTAATGTCTTTCTGTTGTATTCATATAGTGTATTATCTCCAAAATAAATAAAAACAATAGCAAAGAAAAGAAAAATCTGCTCGCGGCATCAACAGAGCTGTGAAGGGAGTGCTCTTTTCCTCAGTCTCACACACACACACACACACACACACACACACAGGCATTTAAACGCGCACAAACGCACCTTTTAAACTTGACTGAAACTCTCGAAAACCTTTACTGTCTGCTGTGTCTTTAATATGGTGTAAAGATTATTATGCGTTATTGAAACATCAAGGAGGATGCAGCAAAGAAAAGTCATTTATAAATTAAAACTACTTTATTATTTTATATAACAGCCTTACATTAAAAAGAGAAACATAAGGGCGATCATACGCAAAAAGACCCCAGCCTGTAATTTGTTTCAGATGTTTCTTTCCCTTATTTATTTATTTGTTTATGTGTTTGGCGCATGTACTCATGTGCGATCGGAAAACTGTGCCCGCCTCTCCTTTCACTCCGCCCTGAAGCTGGCCCTCTTTGGCCCAAGGTATTCAGTAGCCCCAAGAAAGCCCCGATTTGGGCCGATTAGGCCCCGGAAGTGACGGTGGAAACGCGACTGGCCTTGGCTCGCCCTGGCTCGCTCGCTTTAGGCGCGATAGTGGAAAAGCGGCTATTGGTGCCAATCTTTTGGAGTCAGCTTGGAGTGTAGTATTACACAGAAATGATGGTTCAAAACCATTGTACACACACTATTGAAGTCAAGCTGCTGTGTTTTTTTCTATACAGAAAAGGGCCAAAGTGCTGAAGTTGCTTCTTTTTTCTTAAAGTAAATTGGCATTGGTTTGATATAAATTAAATTATTAATATTACAACAACCTTTCCCACTTTTTGTTTTAATGATGCAGAGAGAGAAAGAGATATATTTCTTGCATAGAACTAATATTAGAAATAATACAATGTTTATAATATTAAATATAGTAAATATTAAATATGAAATAATATTTATTGGTAATTTTAAAGTCCATGATTGACCAACTATTAATTTAGTTGCTTTATTTTATTTTTGAAAATAATTATCAATGCTCGGATATAAATAGCACAATTAGCATTTTGGCCTTCATAACCTGTTTTATGAGAGATTTATTTAAAGGTGTTTATAGTTACAACATCTATCAGGTTAAATCACATGTAACATTCAAATTACTAGCAAGTAAATTGGTGCTGAACATCTCTCTGATGTTTTATTAATTGTTGATCCTTCTAACTGCCATTTCCCATTCTGTTTGTTTGTTTTGTTTGTTATCTTGCTTGCTTTTGTTCTATGGTTCTTCTAGTGGTCTATCTATTTTCTGTTCTGTTGTTGTTCGTGTTCTCTTGTTTTCATTCTATTCTTTTTTTTCTGTTTATTATTCATTGTTATATGGATAATTTTATCAGATTTTTCTATTTGTATTTGTATAAATTTCTATTATTTTTTTCTGTTGTCCAGTAATTCTCATTCTATTGTTTTTTCTGTCATTTTTTTCAGTCTTATTTTGTGTCTGTCATTCTATCTGTCGTGTGTGTCTTTTCTGAGTCATTAAACATTCCATTCATCAAACAATAAAATAAAACAAACGTTTCACTGATTAAAATAATTAAGCAGGACATCTGGTCGTAACATTTATAATCATTTCATGCAGTATAATATGTAGTAGTTTTTAGCATACAATATTTACTCACATTGTTTTGTTTGCAGCTGGAAACAGTGTGTCAGATGACGAGCTTGAAACTATGCTTGAAAGTGGACAAACAGATGTTTTCACACAAAATGTGAGTGATTTGTGTGTGTGTTTTTGTAAGTCTTGAAGTTATTAATTTCTTAGTTTCTACCTTAAAGAAGTCCTATTGTACCTTTCACACTTAATATTCTTTAGTGTGTAAAGTTTCTGAGCATGAAAGAAAATCTCAAATTAATTATTTTTTACCACCATAAGCAGTCTTTTTAGAACTTTGTAGCCTTGACCCATCTTCTAGCAGTGGTAAACTTTGCCTTGTTCTATAAATATATTTTCACTCTAGGACCCGATTATTTATATATATATATATATATATATATATATATATATATATATATATATATATATATATATATATATATATATATAAATAAAGGTTACATTTTTTTGTTTGAAAATGAAGAACAAAGTTTAAAAGAACAAAGTTAACAAAAATGAAGAACAAAGTTAGATTATTAAAGGACCCTGAAGATGTTACATTTCGATGACAAAACACTTTAATACAGACTAGTAATTACAGACTGCTGCACAACATATTTTGTTAACGTTTCATTTTTTGATTGTTGTTTTCTATATTCTAACTCAGACTCATTAGCCGTGCAGTGTTGATTGCTTGGTATCAAACCCAAGAGTGGATTGTCGAACAAATTACCTATCTGTAGATAAGATATATAATTATGTAAGATAGTTCAAATTTACTTCTGAAATAATTCAGTCTTAATTGTTTTAAGTTCACGTATCAAACACTTTTGGTAAATTGCCCCCAGGTGTTTAAATTGACAAGGCTTTAAAATGTATAGATGTGTTTTTTGTTAACATGGTGTTTGATGCACAAGCTGTAATAGCACTGCCCACTTCTTAAAATGGAGTCAGGGAGATGCATCTAATTTGCATTTAAAGAAAAAGGCAGCATGTTTTAGCTTTCATTCAAAAAGGATGTACAGCAGGGGTGCTCAACCTTGTTCCTGGAGATCTACCTTCCTGCAGAGTTTAACTCGAATCTTGATTAAACACCACTAACTCAACTAAGTAGAATCTGAAGGAGCACTTGGTAATTAAAGACGGGTTTGTTTGATCATGGTTGCAGCTGAAGTCTGCTGGAAGGTAGATCTCCGGAAACAGTGTTGGGCACCCCTGATGTACAGCATTGTAATAAATGATGTTTGAGATATTTTGAGCTGAAGCTTCAGGGATTTTTTAGCTCCTGAGAGCATCATGTAAAAACATAATGGGACTCCTTGAATAAAACGGCTCACTACTAAGTAGAGCTGCACAATTCAGGCTGATCTAAATAAAACTTACCTTTTTTTACTTTACTTTTTAACATTGAGATTGCAATCCTCCAATGTATGATTCCAACATAATAACATGTAATGCAAAAGTTTATGACATAATAATAACTAAAGAATAAGCTTACATGGGTTTTCGAATCTATAATTCTTTTAGCGATTAATTGTGCAGCTCTACAACAGAGTGATATTTTTGACTGCAGTCTTCTGATTTCTTGAAGTCACTTTTAAAGTCTTTTCTTTTGCTTTCTCTGGAAATGGATATTTCATTTTGGTAAGGTCCTCTTTGGAACAAATGTGTTTTTTGATTATGTTAAAAAACATGTTTTTGATGATGTTGATTAACCTGTTTGTCCAATTAGAATGTGATCAAATAATATATAATAAATAATGAGATTTCAGTTGCATTTTCTGTGCCCTGATTTAGTGGGAAAAATGCTATATAAGTAAGCAAAGTAAAGTGTACAGTTAAAACTAAAGATCCAGGACATCTTCATAACTACTTTTAGACAATTGTATTTCAGATAAAAACAAGTCTGCTTTGTCAACATCATTAAAAGCATTCTTAGAGTAAATGCATCTGATTCTCTGTACCTCCTTTCTAGATTTCCACTTCCCTTTTCACAGATTGGTTACAGTGATTTTTACCCATCAGCACATTTTTTTTTTTTTTTTAAATCCCTTAACGCCCTTTGCCTGAAAAGAAAGCATCATCATCATGAAACATTTCACCATTGTGTTCTGTGTTCACCTCACAAGTAATGTTTAGTGTCTTTATTGCTGCTATAAAAATGTAATATTATTTTCCCAGATTTTGAATGATGCAAAAGCTACCAGACAAGCTTTAAATGAGATCGAGTCACGACACGATGAGATCATCAAACTGGAGAGAAGCATCAAAGAGCTACATGACATGTTTCAGTACCTTGCAATGGAGGTGGAAGCACAGGTGAGATGAACACACCGGCTATATTTACAGATCATTTATGTCCAGTCAATTCAAAAAACAATAATAAAAACTCATTCCAACTGTTTCTTTCCAATTTTTTACTTTTCAGGGTGAGATGGTGGACCGAATTGAGTCGAACATTAAAATGTCCCATGACTATGTGGAAAAGGCGGTTGCAGAAACAGAGGCTGCTGTAAAAACATCAAAAAAAGTGCAGAAGGTGAGTCAGCAATAAAAAACGCCATTTCCTGTTCAATTTGTCATTTTGATTGGCAAAAGTTTAGCATCTTTCTTTTTTTTTTTTTTTTTTTTTTGCAGTTCTAAGTTTAAATATAACAATTCTGACTTTTGAAATTCTGAGTTCTCAGTTGCAAGATATCGTTCTTTCTTTTTATTGATTTTATTTTATCCCAAAGTTTGAGTTTTTCAGTAATTTGTAGGAGAGGTGCACAACACCAACACCAAATCTAAGACAAAGAAAATATGAAATTACAAACTTATTAGGAGTTTAGGAGCTGACAAGTCTAGAATACTAAAACCAAACTGCTTAATTTTGAATGTAAACCTTAACTATTCTAATATAAGAAAATAAAATACAGTTCATAACCCTAACTTCCTAACAGATCAAAAGGTTTTCTCAAACAAACTGGCATCAGCCATTACCCTTTAGCAGACTGGGCTTTGATATTCTGCTACCTTCTACATGATGGCTGGAGCTGAAAAAGAGGATTGATCTTTGCGGCTGGTCTCTTATAGAGCAGTACAGACTTAAAGTTGGACTGTATAAAATAAACACCAAACTCCACAATTCTGTTGACAAGTTAGGCATTTTTATTCTGAAACAGTTAAGTTTAATGACTTTCTAACACGCTTAACTTTCATATTGAGATTTTGTTGTAATTTCAATTCAAGTTGTGACAGAATGATTGTTAAATTATTTTGTTATTTAATTTTATGTTATGGAAAATTGTGAGGGAAAAAAAGCATAAATATTTTATATATTTTCAATGACTCCGATCTTTTGGGAGGTGACTTTATTTCATCAATAGAAATAATAGAAAGAGATTATTAGAAGAAAAAGTAGTCCTTGGTGGTTCATTTAAAAAGTCAAAATGCCTATTGAGCTATTTAGAGTTAACTAAATAATACTCCGGCTCATGATGATACATTGAGGTCTTCTAAAATAAAACAAAGTGTCTTCACAACATTCTGTCTTGTCTTGTTCACAGAAAAAGATATATATTGCAGTGTGCCTTGCTGTTTTACTTCTTATAATAGCCATTTGCCTGGCTATCAGTTTCTCTTGGTGAGTCCAATCAAATAAATTTAATATGTATATATTACTATGTATTACTATATATATATATTACTATAACTTTATGCAAGTAATTGAGGTGAACTGTGATATAGTTGTATTGTTTTTTTTAATAATTACTTTATTTTAACAATGTTTTTTTTTTTTTCTTTAATAGACTTTTCTACCCACCAAGCACTGGGTTTTGTTCTCTAAAATGTTCTCCTGAAGTCCCTTTGCCTTCAAACATGCCCATGTGTTCACATGACCTTTATTGGTGACTCTTTTTTTTTTATGGTAGCTACATTTTCTGGAGTTTTTAAGTGTTAATCTGTTGTTTTAGGCTGCTTTGTCCTGCAAAGGACATGTTTTTCATGAAAATATTAGCTGCACTGCTTGGAAATTTTAAAAAGTTACATGGTAAAAACCTTTTGTATTACATCATTACTATATAGACTGGATTTAAAACTTGGTGGACTTTATTTGGCAGAATTCAACACTAAAGCATGATCTCATGTGGGTAGATTAAGTAAAAAAGAAAATGCTAATGAGATTCCTAATATATAAAACCTTTTTTTGGAGACAAGTTCGAGCTCAAGAGGGATGGCCTATTCATATTTGCCCTAATATGTTTATAAGATGTCTTTTGTTTTGTGTGTTTGTGATTTATGCCATTTCACACTTGGAATCCAATAAAAATGGCAAAAATAGGTCATCTGTGTATATATAATAAACTAATTTTATACTCTGCTTTGAATTTTAGTAACTACCATTCAGAATACTGCTTCTCATCATGATGTTGCATTCACTTGTGTATTTTACCTCGTTTTGTGCTCTGTCCAAGTTAAGACATGCATTTTTAAGAAATGCTTATGTACAGTTATTTGTTCAGTGCCTCAGTCTTGGTGCCTTTTCTTGACCAACAGTTAAAGTCACCAATAGTGCAGTTTATCTGCTTTCACTGAGGACTAACTGCCACATTTCAGTCATTCTGGTGTAAAATTGTCTTTTTTTTAAAATAAAGTACATATTATATATTTGATTGTTCTGTAGTATCTTTCCCTCCTTCATTTATTAGCAAGTGTCATATTGAATGCTTGCTTTGTAAAGCAAGTCAATCTGTATGATGCACTTGGTTTGTTTGGTGCAATTGTTAAAATAGATGCAATTTGATTTGTAAAAAAATCAGTTTTGTATAGATATTTGTACATAATTGCTCCAAACAAACCACTTATCTAGACTCATCCTGTTCCAGCACATACCAATGGTGATCTATCAGTCCCTGCAGAAATTTCAACTATAAGCAGATTTTTGGGATGTTTTTTTTCCAAAACATATGGCATTATTTCCTTCAGTCCTTTGTGTATTTTCTCAGGAAATTCTTGTAAATTCCTTTTTATAATAAATGTGTGTGTAAATACATTAAGTGTGCGGGTGCGGGTGTGTGTGTGGGTGTGGGTGGGTATGGGGAAGAGTTGATTCCCAGTCCCAGCAGGAATAGAAAATGGGGGAGTGAATGAACCACACTTAAAAGCGAAGGGTCAATTTTGAGAATGGGTAACCAGATTTGACAATACTCACTTCTAAGTATTTATTGTTCCTACTAAAGGTGTCAGTGGTTGTTGTTGTTTTTTTTTTTTTTTGTGCAAAAACAGGATTCTTTATGATCCTTTGATGAGAGCAGAAATAAATAATTCGTAACATTTTTTTGCCTATTGCTAAAAAAGTAAAAATTATTTTATTGACTCTTATTCATAGCGATGTAGTATTCATAAATTATTGTAACAGCACAATATAATAATATAATGTTTTAACATAATAATTAGAAAATAATAGTTTGAGAGCTATTCTCTGTCCATATTTCAGACCCTGTATGACATAGTACACGGGAATCCCCATCACTCTCTCCTTTAAACACTAGAGCTCAATCCGTGCTCAGAAGTGAACTACATCTCCCAGTTGGTTCTGTTTACTCTACAGTTTCATTTATAGAAACAGTCGTGTTTCTGACAGCCTGTCGAACAGGACTGCGGCCGAAGGAGGTTCAGGTAACTATTTATATCTGGAAGTTGTTTATTGTCAACGTTTATAAATCGCATAATAACACGAGTAACGTTAGTAGGCTAAACAAGGTAAATAGTGAGTTTGCCCACAGTTTAAAGTAATTTTTTTCAAGATTACAAGCTGGATCTAAAATGTTTAAGTTAGGCTACCTAACTTATTAATTAAGGCGTTACGCGCCGATGTAACATAATCAAACCTAACCAAGCATGTTGTCAGTTGATGATATTTGTCTTTTATGTTTGTGTTAGTTACGTAAAGCGTAAAAACGTATTCACGCAAAAATGAAAGTGAAAATAACTTCAACGGAGACAAACCGGACATTACCTATATCTTTTGACTAAAATAATCTTTTGACCCACTAAAAGGTGACAGCTCCCCTCCATAAACCCCGCCATGAGCGACAGAACGGAGGAAGAATCGATTGTTATAATGGAGACCTCGTCATTCTCCCAGGTAGTTTTTAACGATGTTCCTCCGTCATACCCGCCGAACACTGCCGTGACCTGCCGGTTCACGACCGGAGACCTGCAGCCCAATCCGAGGGACTGGATCGGTATCTACAAGGTAAGTAATCAATAACAGACACTTACTTTAATCGATTACTGATCATCATATTTTGTGATGTCATATTTGTTGTGGATTGTACTTTTTAAGACCCCTTTTGCATTTTATTGTGAATAAAGTTGCCATATTGCTTTCAATGGTGTTTAATTTAGTTTTTGAAATGCTCCAGGTTGGTTGGAATTCAGCACAACAATATTATAACTATGTTTGGGTGGAAGCCCCTCACCTGGACCAAGCTAAACCTGAACAAGTGATTTTCAAAGGTATGAAATACCTCTCTCTCTCTCACTCTCCTTTTCCGTGTTTCGCTCTGACACAAACTGAGACTGCATACATGTCAGAGGTCTCAAAAACCTTCCTCATACATTTTTCACATTTTTTATCTGCTGAACACAGAAGATATTTTAAATATATTTTATTTGTGTAAGATAATTTTGAAGAAAGCTGAAACCCTGTAACTACTGACTTCCATATAGTAAACAAAGAAATACTATGTCAATGGTTACATGTTTCCAACATTATTTAAAATATCTTCTTTTGTGTTTAACTGAAGAAGGAAAATCATTAAGGTTTGAAACAAATGTAGGGTGAGTAAATGATGGCAGAATTTACAGTTTTGGGTGAGCTATAATTCTCTTTAACCTTCATTTAATTGACCAAAATATAAAGCAAAGATTTCCAACGTTTCTACTGGCCAAAATAAGTTTTATTCTGTTAAACTTTTTTTATGCTGGCAATACACTCCAAAAGAATGGGACAAAGGCATGTTCAAAACAGTGTGTCCCATGAAACTTTAGTGTTCAATTCTTTTGGAGTTGAGAGTTGTTCAGTTTTACAAGCAATAGTTTAGCCTAATCTAACATGAATATGTGGTTCTACTTTTTATAAAAATGCCATACATTTTGAATTAGGAGACAGATCTGGACTGCAAAATCTATCTATGATATCTATTATAAAACACTCACTTGCCTCTGAATACAAATACTTTCAACTTTTATCAATTATATAAAAATATAAAAATAATGAACTTTTATTATTGATTTCACTATATTCTTAATGCCCCAACTCTTTTAGAAATGGGATTGTAAATAATAATGACTCTAGTCACTCTAGAAGTCGTTGTTTGCCTAAAGGAAAAAGGGGGACATGATAGATGTGTTCCTGGTGCATCAGTGCTGTGAATGGGACGTCATGCTGCTATTTTAGTTAAGGTAGAACACCACATCTATGTTACTCAGAGCTCTTATATCAGGGGACCTTGTGATGTGTCAAGTGTCTCAAGAATTTGGTTTGCTGCCGTGCACTTTCTTGGCAAGTAATAATGTGTGGAGCAACAGTCTGAGGATTGCTTGGCAGAGTAGTTTTTCCATATCAAAATATCTTTTAATATTTCTCCAGCTCTGGAGTGATTTGATAGACTTTAAACTGTATGTTTAGGCTCTTAATAATCAGATAAATAATAAATTGGTATATTTAATTTAGAATTTTGTCCAGAATAAATACATTTAAATTTTCTAAATATATTTTGTCATTGTATTATTTAGATCAGATGGATTTTTTTTTTTGCTTGCATCATATCTGCATTTTATTTGCATATAAAATTTGTTGTGATGTAATCTAATGATCTAAATGAGACCCATATTTGTTAGTCATATGTTAACAAAACAGGGCGACACAGTATCGCAGTAGGTAGTGCTGTCGCCTCACAGCAAAAAGGTTGCTGGATCGCGGATTCGAAGCTCGGCTCGGCTCAGTTAACGTTTCTGTGTGGAGTTTGCATGTTCTACCTGCGGTCGTGTGAGTTTCCTCAAGGTGCTCTGGTTTCCCCCACATTCCAAAGACATGCATTACAGGTGAATTGGGTTGGCTAAATTGTCTGTAGTGTATGAGTGAGTGTGAGTCCGAGAGATGGGTTGCTGCTGGAAGGGCATCCGCTGCGTAAAAACGTGCTGGATAAGTTGGCGGTTCATTTCACTGTGGCGACCCCCAGATTAATACTAAGCCCGAAAGGGACTTAGCCGGAAAGAAAATGAATGAATGAATGTACGTTAACAAAACAATATATTTAAGAAAATAGTGTGCATGAAACAGTACTACTACAATAATATATAATAATAAATTAAGTTATATACAGTATTTGTCAATGCATTCAATGCGTTTCATTCTCATAAATGTTTTACTAAATATTGTCAAGTTAAGTCAAGCTTTATTGTCATTCTGTTACATGTGTGGACATACAGAGGAACGAAATGTCGTGTCTTGCAGGACAATGGTGCTACATTAATTAATCATAAATACAGACACAACACTGCACATAAAAGCTATTTTAAAAAGAAAAAAAAAACTTATGCATACAGTAAATAACATTGTTTCACAGTTTGCCTTATTTTAACCAAGTTGATATTTAACTAAGTTCTTATAATTGATTTCACACTAAACATATTTATCTTGATTTTAAATAAATACAATAAATAAATTTTGAGGAAATGATTATATAATAAAAAACAATAGTTAACAATAAATTCTACAAATTGAGGTAAAAAAATTTTTTCCCCATTTCATAAAGTTTAAATTCAATTAATAAAATCATCACACCATTATAAAAACAATGTGAAAAATGTACATTAATTTTAAGATTGTCTGAAGAAGCTTTAAAAATGTTATTAGACTATTAGCTATTTAAAAGTTTTCCTTAAATGATAAGTGAGCGTTAGATAGAAGCAGATGGAAGAAGTGATGAAATGGTAAAAAGAGGTGGAAGGATTATGAACAATTAATTAAACATTAACAACCTATACAGAAAAAACACAAACAATGATTGATTCTAAAGAAAAAAAAAAAAGCATTTTTTTTATTCATTAATTTACTTATATCGATACCTATGACAGTAATATGTTAATGAAGGGGCCTTTAAGAATTGTTTTTGACAGTGTTGGGGACTGTGACACTTCACAATAGGGTTTATAAACTTCCGGTAAACGGTTATTGTGACTTTCTTTCCATTTTATACGGTTCTTTTTACAGCATCGATATTGTAAGGTAATTAAAATACAATTAGTTAAAATAGACTTTGGCATTCATTTAGTTGTTGAAGCATAAAACGAGACAAAAAGCAGTTTACTTTCACGCGCCTGTCAAAATCGGCTGGTTAGCATAGAAGCTCCATTGAATATACTGGGTTAAAATAAATGTTTATATTTTAAAGACATGGCAGGGAAAAATGTAATTTAATGCAGTGCCTCTTGTACAATCTGAGACCCTCTATATAATGGATATCACTCAGCCAGTGGAGATCACTAATTTTTAAAGAAAACAGACCTTTTTGCAATGGCATACTGTTCACCAGTAAGTTTTAACTCCGGTTATTGACCAATTAAAAGTCCTTTAGCATAGTTCCACATAAATCCTATCATAAAAGGGGGTGAGGGAATTGGGAGTATTGTTTTTCTCCACACACCACCATTAGTGTGGAGCATCCACTTAGATCAGGGATGGGCAAACTTGATCCTCGATCGCCGGTGTCCCTGCAGAATTTTGTTCCAACACTAGTCAAACACTTGAACAAACTAATCAGAGTCTTCAAGATCACTAGAAATCTATAAGCAGGTGTGTTTGATTAGAGTTGGAGCTAAACTGTGCAGGATACCGGCCCTCCAGGACCGAGTTTGCCCACCCCTGACTTAGATGATGCTCCAGTGCTCTCACTATACCAGCTATTGGTGGAGTGGAATGACAGTTATAGAACCAATTCGGTGGATGGGGATGACTGGGTAAGGTAAGGTAAATAGATAAGGTTAGCCTTTAATGAACACTTTTTTTTGCATCCTCAGAGAGCTACCTGCCCAAGGATGATGGGGAGTTTTACCAGTTCTGCTATGTTGACAGCAGTGGGCATGTCAAAGGAGCCAGCACTCCATTCTGCTTTCAAAACCAAGAAACAAGTCTGGACTGCAGTCTGGAAAAGGACCTGCTGGTTATAACAACGCAGGTATGATATGGTGAAATTAAAAATATATAGATTACACAAAAAATTCAAACAAATGCTTTATTGACTGTCCTTGTGAGTAGGAACAGACAGAGATAATGGAGAAAGAGAAAGAAGACTTCCTGAAAGAGATTGAGTCCTTGAAAGAAACAAATACAATCCTGAGAAATGAGTTGGATGAAAGACTGCATGAGATGAGCCGACTCAGGGTTAGTCTGATTCTGTAGTGTGTGTGTGTGTGTGTGTGTGTGTGTATAAATAAATATATATATGTAGTTAGGTTAACCAGGCATGTTAGGGTAATTAGGCAACTTATTGTATAAGGATGGTTTGTTCTGTAGACTATCGAAAAAAAAAGTTGGCTTAAAGGGGCTGATAATTTTGTCCCTAAAATGTTTTTTTTTTTTTATTAAAAGCTGCTTTTATTCTAGCTGAAATAACACCAATAAGACTTTATCCATGAAGAAAAAATATTATAAGGCACACTGTGAAAATTTATTTGCTCTGTTAAATATAATTTGGGAAATAATTAAAAAAAAGAAAAAAAATTAAAAGGGGGGCTAATAATTATGATGTATATAAGAAGTGTCTTGAACAAACCTGACATGCAGTTAATTACAAAATCATTTCACACCTTCATTATCTACAAATCACACATAATATATATAATAATATATAGTTATTATATTATTATATAGTTATAATAATAATAATAGTAATAATAGTAATAAATCATACATGCCTTACACATACATACACACACATATATACTGTATGTATACATATATATATATATATATATATATATATATATATATACACATATACATATATATATAAACATATATGCATGTATGTTTTGTAATGAACAGCATGTCAGGTTTGTTATGCAGTGTCAATGTTAGAAGTATTTGTGCCTTGTATCCATTTTTTGTCAGAATGTTCTAATTATGGCAGTAATTGTAGTAATCAAGTTGTGTTCATTTAGTATTATTTATATATAATAGTATGCATTAGTATTTTTAGCATTTTACACTTTCTTTTTTTTTAAACTTTTTTATTATTAAGTTAAATGTGATTTGATATTTTTATATAACTTTGTTGTCTTTTTTGTGTAATATTTGTCATTTTTATTTTTGTTTAATTTTAGTTCTTTTAATATTTTATTTTTAATAGGTTAAGGTAATACTGGTTTTACTGCATTGTTCTTGGAGTAGCATCATTGCGAAACACCACTATATATGTTCAGTAGTGCATAAAGTGATTATACCTTTGTCCTTACACTAAACTGCAGAGCACCTTGGAGGATTTGAAGTCAAAGGATAAACCTGAAACACCACTGCCAGATGAACAGAGTTATAATGCCATAGAGGAGGTAAAGAAAGAAGATTTCTCTATAATTTAAACGGTCTAATTGAAACATGTATGACTTCTATCGAACAAATTCATTCACAGTCACTGACTCCTCTTCAAGAAAAGTATGAGAAAGCTGTTCAAAAGATCTTTGTGCTGAAGCAAGAGAGAACTGAGTTACAGCAACAGATTGAACTCCAGGACACTGAAATCCTTCGGTAAAATCAGTCTTTTTTATGGAATTTCTTGTGCCAGAATGTTTTATTTGCAAACATTTGGTAGAAATGATCATCTGTCATTTGTCTCCAGACTGAGTACCTTGTTGAAAGAAATGGAACAAAATTACAGCAAAGTACAGGACCAGGCCAAGCTGTTACAGGTTTGCAGATGCACAGTATGCACAGGCACAAAAACAAGCAGAACAAATAATGTAATTCTGAACTGTCAAATATAAATATATTTGTAAATGTTAAAAGAAATAACATTAAAATAATAATAATGAACACTCATCTGCTCATTTTAAAATGTCCATATTTAATGCCACAGCATTAAAGCTACAAAGTCATGTACAGTATATGATGTACAGTATGTAACTCTTCACATTATTTGCTTCTAAAAACATTTCATGATTTACATGAGTAATCTTGTTTTCAATTGGAAATAAGATGATTTTGCTAAAACAAATAAAAAAAACCTCACTTAATTTTAGATAGCATTTCTGCAATATAATATAAATATATAGAAAATATATAGAAAATGCTTCTTGATTTAAAAACTTCTGATATTTGCACCAGAAAAAAAGACAAAAACTCAAAGAAAAGTCTTTTTCTGCAGTGTACATTTACATTTATGAATTTATCAGACACTTTCATCCAAAGGGAATCACAAGCATGGAAAAAAAACTATCCATTAAAGGGCAAGCGTTATGTTAGTGCTGGACAATCTTGATTAATCGCATCCAAAATTAAAGTTTGCTATGACATAATATAAATGTGTGTATTGTGTATTTTTATTATGTGTACGCATTATATAAAAATCTTTCAAATTTGTGTAACAAAAATGTTTTGTATTTTTTTTTTTTATGTATGTGTGTGTATCACATATACATGACAAATATATTTCATACACACATATATATTATGCTGAAACAAAATTTATATGAGGTTACAAGCACTTAACTTCAACATGCCATTTATGCGGTTTTAGCTGGACGTGCAAAGCAGCAGAAAAGACAATGAGAAGCTGCAGATGGAAATCCAGGAGCTCAGGAAAGACTGCAGGGCTGAAAACAAAGCGCTACAAACATCCATGTTAGAGCAAAGAGCCCAAGAAAACGACAAAGTGAGGCTTGTCTGTTTGGAAATTTAAAATATTGTAACTTTAAAACATTAAATATTAAAAATTATTATACAAAACAAATTATTAAAATAGGAATATAAAACTGAAATATCTCTCCTCAGGTACAGATCCAGGCCCTGCTCACTCAGCTGACCGAGGCCAGAGGGCTGCTCCGAACAGAAGTTCAGACCTGTAAAGAAGCCTGCAGACGTGCAGAAGGAGCAGAGCAGGAACTGAGGGAACTGAAGAAGAAGCAGGAGGAGATGAGCCAGAAACAGGCTGAGGACGAGGAAACCAGTCAAATCCAGGTATTGCACTGTGACTTTTTCATTTTGTTTTGTGAGAGTGAATAATATTTCATTTCGTATTCCACATAATTCTGTTGTTACAGACCCAACTTCAGCAGGCGCAAAACAAAGTCTACGAATTGGCAGAGACATCGAGATTGGAGCGAGAGGAGCTCGTGGAAAAGAATGAGGTGATCTGTTTTGTTTTGGCACAGATTAAACATCACTGTTAGGTAATGCTTCAAATGTTTGGGGTTGGTTGGAGTTTACTTTTTTTTTTTTTTTTTTTTAGAAAAGCATAAATTGGAAACAGTAATGTTACATATTCAAAGTTTAAAAAACACCTTCATAATGCATTTTAAAATGTAATTGATTCCTGTTATGCAAATGCTGAATATTCAATAGCTGTTGCATTTGCAATTAATTAATTTGCATTGGTTTTATGATAATTAAAAAAGATTTATTATCAGTGTTGAAAACAGTTATGCTGCCTGTGCTGTTTTTTTTTTATTAATGGATAATTCAAAAATACAGTATGTATTGGATTGGATTAACAGTATTTAATGTGAAATTAGTAACTTTAGATTAATTTGACAATTCTGAATAAAAATATAAATAAATGAAATAATATTTTAGTATATTTAATATATACAAATATAAATATACAACTTTATTGTAAAGTGTTACCCATTTTTATAAGTTAATATTAGTTAATGCATTTGCTAACATGAACAATACATTTACTACAGCATTTGTTCATGTTAGTTAATGTTAGTTAATGAAAAGTTGTTTATTGTTAGTTTGTTAACTCGCAGTGAATAATGTTAGCAAGCATGACTTTGGATGTTAATAATGCATTAGTAAATGTTGATCTATGATTAATAAATGCTGTACAAGTATTGTTCATAATTGGCTCATGTTAGTTATAACTTCAACTAACATTAATTAATGAAACCTTATTGTAAAGTGTGACCAAAAAATCTAATTTTTTGAATAAAAATTATATATATATAATTATATATATATATATAATATATATATATATATAAATAAAAAAGATTGATAAATCAGCAATTGTGCTGACTTCAAATTTTTCATGAGTGTAATTAGTAGAATGTTCACTCAAAATTGTAAATAGTCCTTTATACTCCCTCCACATGTTCTAGACCTGTATATGTTTATTTCTTCTGCTTAACACAAGAAGACACCTTTAAAAAAGTTTGTATCCAAAACCCTAATGGTAATTATAAACTTCCAATGTAGGAAAAAAATATTATGGAAATCAATGATCAAACTGACTACAAGCATTTCTTATAAAATATTCTTTTGTGTTCGCCAGAACAATGAAACTTGTTAAACAACTTACTCAATGAGATATTCACCAGTGTCAGGTTTAGAATTTGGATCATATATTAATGTTAAAAATTTTATATTTATTAATGGAATGATTTTGCCCTTGAAATTGACACTTTATTAGGTACACCTGTCCAACTGCTTGTTAACGCAAATTTAAAGTAAGTAAACGCAACCGTCTCTATGCTTTACAAAGAATGTTGAGGGTCAGATTTTGGCATCAACAACATGAAAGCATGAATCTATCCTGCCTTGTATCAAGGGTTTAGGCTCATGGTGGTCATGTAATCGTGATTTTGTGGGGGATACTGTATGTTCTTAGCACACTTTGGCCATATTAGTAACAAGACGGGCATCGTGTCAACACCACAGCCTACCTAAATATTGTTGTTGGCCATGTCCGTCTCTTAATGATCACAGTGTACCCATCTTCTGATGGCTACTTCCAGCAGGATAACACACCATGTTATAATGTCTCAGTCCAATAGATCACCTTTAGGATGTGGTGGAACGTGGGATTTGCATCATGGAAGTGCAGCCAAGAAATCTGCAGCAACTGCGTGATGCTATCATGTCAATAGGGACCAAAATCTCTGAGGAATATTTCCAGTACCTTGTTGTACCATAAAACTATCCCTTTAAAACCAAACGTGATACTACGGAGTTCATGTCAATCAATCATTATTTATTGACTATTAAGATCTTGTCATTTCATTTCTTTATTTTTTTAAACCTCCAGGAGTTGCAGGATGAAGTAAATAAGCTTCGTCGGGCATTATTCGACTACCAGGTTGCATCTGTTGCTGCAATGTCTGATCAGATTTCTAGTCCTCAACCTCAAAGCCCACCGGCCTCCACTGAATACACATCTACAGACCCTCATTACTACGAGGAAATTGATGAACTGACAGGTTGGTACAATAACAATCATAAAAATAGTAAAATATAAAGATTCAGACAAAAAAAAATCTGGAATCTGTTTTAAAACGAGCAAATAAAACAATATTTTATTTCTACATTACAGCAAATCCTGCACAGACAGACAAACAGGTAATAACTTATGACATTTTTTTGTTTCAACACAGCACAAAATGACTTAACTGTTTGCATTTTCCACATGTGCAGGCTAGGGTGTGCCAGCACTGTCGGGAGAGTTTTCCTGGGATCAGCGAGGATGAACTGGCACAACACGAACAGTGTCACAAAGTGTGCCCGTTCTGCACTCTGATCTGTGATGACTGGCAACAGCAGGAGTTTGAAGATCATGTCTACAGTCATGCGGATTAGCTTACTCTGTTTCTGACATTAGGGGTGTGCGATGTTCATTGGTCTGATGTTATTTAGGAGATTATTCACTTTATAACAAACGAAGTTACATTTTGAGAGTCTAAAAGCATTCGCTGATGCATTTTATTAGATTGCAACTAGAATGAGCATCCTTTTTGAAAACAAAAGATATCCAGGTTTAAGTTTCTTTTTAATTCATATCACTTTTCAAATAATGTCACAAAAGCAAGAGTGAAAATACTGATGATGAGACGCAGTAAAAACAAACAAACAGCCGTTTTCAAGAGGGTTGCCAGGATTTCACAACAAATCTATCCCATAACTAGCTCCATGATTAAAAAAAAAAAATTCTTCTTAAAAATAACTTTGTATTAGTAATTATAAAGATTTTGTTTTATAAAATATAATTTAAATTGACAGCACAGCTGGCGTTTTGATATAAATTCGTTATATTATTAAAACTGTAAATTAACAACTTTATTTTGTAAAATTACATATACAAAATTGTCTTGTTTTATCATCCAAGCACTGTTTTTAGCATTGGTTGAATACACATTTGGCAGAGTTCAATATTTGGTAATGCTTTAAAATAATGGTCCATGAGTTCATCAATTTACTAACATGAATAAATTACTCGTAAGGCATTTATTATGGTATTCATCTTTGTTAACCTTAGTTAATGTTATTTAGGTTAAATAACATTCTTTCAGGTTAGTTTATATTAACTCATGGTGCATTAATATTAACAAGCAGAACTTCTGATTTTATAATGCATTACTTAATGTTGAACTATGATTAATAAATGCTTTACAAGATTATTCACGCTTAGTTAATGTTAGCATACTCATTAAATATCGGAGCATTATTCTAAAGTGCAACCAAATATTTCAACACTAGCATATAAATATAATCGATGCAACCCTGTTATTCACCCCATTGACTTCCATTCATATGCATACAATTTTTATTCTGCAATGGAAATTCAATCCAAACAAAGCTTGACCAGAAAAAAACTTGTGCAACACTGTGGTGTTGGAATGAATTGAGTGAGTTAATTAGTCATTGATAAAGTTGGTCACTTGCATTGATTCGATTTTTTTGTTCTTGTTTTTTAATGTATCGGATATTTTTAACAAATTAGTTGACAGAATAATTGAGTGAATAAGTCATTAAGACTTGCTGACTCCTACTAGTGGTTTTAGTTTCATATTTATCTGCGACAGGCTTAGATCAGCCAAAACCAATATAAATCACACTCTGCAAAATATTGTCATCAAAAATACCCCTAAAAATCTGGATTTTGATCTAAAAATAATCGCACATCCCTAGCTAATAATGTTTCGAAAATATGGTGGCACTTTGTAATAGCGCTGAATGGTCAAGGATTTTACAGCTCTACATAATTTCTCTTGAACTATTAGTCTTTATGTATCTAAAACAAGCAAATACAATCTTTTTATTATTATTATGGATTGCTTGCAGTATCACTTTGACATCTGGACTGGGTAAATATCCAATAATACTATACAAAATAAAGCAATAAACATCTGTCAGATAAAATACACATACAAATGATTGGCTTTTATTTTCAACAAAATCTTTTTTTTTTTTCCAGTGAAATGTCAGATATTAAAATAACTAACATATAAAACATATTGAGGCTTGTTGGGTTTTCAGAAATATGACTTAAAGCAGATACTTTTATTATCCCATTTTTTCTAAAAAAAAAAAAAAAAAAAAAAGCCGAGTTCTCAGAGTACAAGACATTCTTTGACCTTGGCTTTTGTCTCCTTTACCGCGACTGCATATTTACAAAATAATGTCTTGTTCTTAAGGTGTCATTTGATTGGCCTCTTCAGGTGTAACGTCTTGTGATAAGAGCTCAGAGAACAGAGCAGGCAGCCAATACTGCGGCTCCCCGGCAGCTTGAGAGTCCAGCCATGCTAAACCTTCTTTCAGCAGGTGATCCTGAAAAACAGATGATTTGAATTAGAGCTGCACGGTTGTTTGATTAAAGATTGCAGACTCAGAGACATCAGTTGACATGCACTGTAAGAATGCTGGGTTCCACTTAATTCCTTCATGTCTCAATGCAAATTGGTTAAGTTAACTGTTAGTTTTACAAACTTAAGTGGGTTGAACATCAAACAATTAAGTTTAACTCAAGAATTGTTTTGATTCGGCTCATTTTAAGTAGTTTAAGCAGCAAATAATTTTTTGGAGGGTATATAGTTATAAAACATTCTTTGTGTTTAGTATTTTCTACAAACATTATTAATTCTGTGTTACAAACATTCAAACTGCCACAGAAGTTTTGGAATAGTGGTTTATAATTCTGATAAAAACATTGATATTGATAGTGATATTTATAGTAATAATTAAATTCACAATTCGACAGCAACTAATGTAACCAAATATATTCGTCAATTAAAATATTCAAGAGATTCTCTAAAAATGATGAATCATACGGTGGCAGAGAGAGCTTTGCATGCAGCAATATAAGAAAACACATAGACTTACAAAAAACACTAGCAAATTAAGAAAAGATCTTATCTGTAAGACAACACACATGCTGCAAATCTTCACAATGCAAACACATTTTGTAAAAAAAAGCGCTTTGCATTTCCACACAATGCAAACAAATTCATAAAACGTGCTGCATTTTCTCACAACACAACGTAAGTTTTTCAAGGGGTTTATGGTTACGGTTATTTAGGCTAATAAACTAATTGGGACATTAAAACAAACAAACAAAAAACTCACCTTTCAAAGATGACCTAAAACTTCACTGAGCAATAGTCATGGCACAGCTGCATCCATAACGTTTTTGGGTCCCCTTGAAACCTTTCCGTTGTTTTCCAGTCTTTTTGTGTTGTGAGAAAATGCAGTGTATTTTTGTAAAATGTTTGTGTTGTGAAAAAATGCAGCACATTTTATTAATTTGTTTGCATTGTGTGAAAATGCTGCACGATTTTAAAAAATGTGTTTGGGTTTTGAGGATTTGCAGCACGTGTGCCGTCAAACAGATGAAGATCTTTTCTTAATTTGCTGAACGTTTTCTTAAATTGCAGCACACTAAGCTCTCTCACAGTCACCGTAGAATCATCTAGTAGTGAAACTAAGTTTTAATGGGTGAGTTATCGAATCATTGATTTTACAAAAATAAGAATATACTATTAATATACATAAATCTCATTTGAAGCAAATAAAATGTTTTCAGAACCTCAAGTAAATGACTAGTTTTGTCATCTCATAAGCATCTATCCAGAATAGTGGAAGAATCATGATCTCAGTTTTAAAACAATCTAATTGTGATTGTCAGTTAATCCAGAATCATGCAGCTCTAACATAAAATGCGTTTATTTTTTTTTGTTTGTCTTGAAAACTTACAAGAACATGACAGGCCCGCTCTTTCTCCCACTTGAGGCTCTCTCTGATTTCACTCACTGTCACGTAACCCTTTTTCTGTAAAACATGGAAAAGAAAATCACAGAGACTTTAAGGTTTTAGACTGTGTGTGTGTGTGTGTGTGTGTGCGTGCGTGTGTTTATGTGCGTGCGTGTGTGTGCTACTGATTACTTCTGCCAGCTGAAGGACCACAGTGTGATCCATGTTGAGCTCTGCTGGGACAGACTGCACTAGATATGTGCCACCAACAGGAATCATCCCAAAGCCGTTGCCCATTGCCTTCAGCTTTTTGATGGCCCGCACCAGATCATCCCTTAATGAGTGGTAAGAGAATTCATGTATTTAGATTAGCTAAAGAACAGTAGAAAAACAGGCATTTAGATCAAATTAGGTTCATTGATAGTAAGCATATGTTTCAAATGACATTTGAAGAAAGCTTTGTGTGTAACTGTGTGCCCCTGTGTCATTTGTTTGATCATTATTTCCACTCAAAATGCTTATGATGATGTCATTCATTTTGGTAAACAAAAAGATCATTTTTTATAAATACATTTTGCCCATTTTTTAGGCATAATTATCATTCAGAGTAAGAAGAACATACTCTGACCTGTTCCTATTAAAACAATAATATGACACCATTCTAAATTTTATAATATTAGTACTAGTGGCAAGTTGAAAGACGACAAATGGGGTCTTTTAATGTCATCAATGTTGATCTCAATACACTTGACTATAATTATTTGTATATAAACTATTGCTACCCTGAATTACAGTTACACTTTAGTGGGAATTTTCTGTAAATCTACGTAAAAATATGCAATACATTTTATGTATTAATACATATTAGTTTTGATCCATAAAACCTCCTCTTTCTTTGACCCATGTGGTTGAAAAAGAAACTCACTGGCTCACATCTTGTGCAAACTTCCCTCTTCCTTTCAAGACACGATGGTGAAGTTCATCTAATGTGATGAGACCTGCAGAAAAAAAAGTCATATTTATTGGTTATATTTATACTTATAAAAGTCATATTTATTGTTATACATCATTTTAACAATAAAAAGGTTTTAAGGTTTACAAGATTTTTTTGCCAAACATCAGGCATCTGCCTTTGAATGCAAGATAAAGATGATGTATGTTATGAGCTAATTATGAGGCAGGGTTTTTCCCAGTTGCATTAACTTCTGTTTTTGATCATTTAAAACACTTCCTCAAAAAGTTATGATTTCAGTTATGACAAACACATTGCAGAAATATTTATGCATTATTATTTTTTGTGGATCTTACATTTTCAACTTTAGATGAAAATATAGCTATTGTCATTTTAATTAAACATATGTGATTGTTGAATACCTTGAGGGACTAATCAGAATTAGGAGAAAGATGCATCACAGTTCAACTTTTATTGTCACACTAGAGCTTGTCTTTTGATAATAGTGATTATAATAATAAATGTGTTATCATTTATACATTATGAACTTCCAAAACTTACCACCATTCCTGTGTTTTAGAGCTAAACAGACTTCAATGATCTGTACGCCGAGCTCATAGTAGAAATCACCAACTCCAAGCATTTCAGACCAAAATCCCTTCCCAGCTGCACACATACAGAGAAGAATACAGTTAGTAAAGTTTAATTATTTGAAAGTATAATTAATTATAACTTAATTATAACTTTTTTTATTTACTTCTGACTTTAATGATGTATACTCATTCACAAAGATTTTAAACATTTTAGTTTTAAAAATAAATATTTAAAGGCTGAATTTCTTCTCAGTAGTGACTGTTGGGATATAAAAATAACCTATGTATTAAGAATCACTGTTATATAACTAAAAATTATAAGTTATTATGATTACAAATAATTTGGATTATACATAAATTGAAAGCCATATACACACACACACATTCTATATATATATATATATATATATATATATATATATATATATATATATATATATATATATATAAAAATAACTGATTTAATACAGTATGTACAGTATGGTCATATGAAATCTGTATAAATTATTATATTACGTTTATACAATATATTATTATTAAATTAACAAGTGTAGTTAAGTATGCTTAAAAAATTCACACAGCTTTTGCATGAGCACAAATTACACCTTATTATTAAATCATAAAATGTGAGCCTGGACCTCAAAAAAAGTTTTATTTGTGGGAATAGTTAAAAAACATTGTATGAGTCAAAATTATACCTTTCCTTTTTATGTGCAAAATTGTTATAATATGAAGTAAAGATGCATGGCTAAGAACTTCATCTGGACATCTTTAGAGGTGATTTTCTCAATATTTAGAAAACACATTTTACTGGACAGTCCTGCTTTTATTGATTCCAAAAGACTTTTTTATGAAATGAACTCTCTTTGGGATATTTTTTTAACAAAATGACACTAGGATTTATTTATTTTTTTCTTATCAAGTATTAACACTAAAAATCTTATTTAACTTGTGTATTCATTTGTTTGTTGTTCTTATTTGTTTATTTATTATTGAAATGTTCTTTCCATGAAAATGGCCTTGGTTGCTGACATGACAATAATCAAAAAATACATTATACATCTCAATATTTAGAGATTTTCTATTATATTTATTGTTTTTGAATCCTCAGATTCACAAGTAGTAGTATCTTGACTAAATGTGGTTCTAGCTTTCAGCTGATAGATATACATTACATTTCAATTACCAACAATTTCCACCGATTACCTTTTTCAGCCAGGGTGACAAATCTATTTGGGCCTAAATGGAAACTCTGACAAAACATTGGAACACTTTGACAAACACTTACATGCAAGAGGATCAACCCCTATAGTGGCGCACATCTCCTGGAACTGCACTCTGAACTGTGAGCTTTTACGGATTTCTTGTTTATGTTTGCTGGCAAACTCCTCCAAATGGGTCTTAAACGTGTCCAGTTGTTTCGACATCTGCCAGAAGAACACACACGCACGCACGGACACACACGGTCTGATGAAAATGGGCTCATTCCGTGTTGTTTCGCATTTATGAGGTGTCATTTAAATTCGCTGTCAGGGTTTACCTGTGCGATCTGATCCTCAGCCAGGACACTTCCTCTCTCTTTATACTTTGCCTGTGACAGTAAGTAAAACAAGTCAGCTAACTTAGGTGAATATGTCAATTTTTAATATTATAAATTTGTCGGAAATGCAGTCATTGTACTGTACCTCAGCGAGTTTCTTTTTGGCTATCGCCCCAGCTCCCACTCCTCTTCTGTGCATGATGGCTAAATAAGAAAGTCTCAAATACTACACTACAACAGCGAGGATGTATTATTTCCCTGTGCCCTGATACAACTCTTGTAATTGACTTCCCAGTCAGCTAAACAGCGCGCGAACTACATACAGACACATTGAGACCGAACATGACAAACTAATCTAACGTTATATCATAAAACGACACCGAATAGAGTTGATATCTTTCATTTACGCTGCTTTTTAAATCAGTTTCCAACAATCCAGAAAGAAAACATCCACAGAGGTGTGTTATTTCTTCTGGACTCCAGAAGAAGAAGACTCTGGAGTCCAGTGTCGTCACTAATGTTTTGGTGAATATACTCGATGACACCACCAAGCGGACTGGAGAGCAACTAACAAATCAAGCGACAGACTGTTGACAAACCTGGTCAAGGTATTGGTAAAGACAAGGCTATAATCTTATTTGCGTCTAGTCCTTATATTTTAACTACTTTTTTACTTTATTCAGCTATTTTCTATGAGGTAGGTTACTAGTAATTATTCGTTGGCTTAGCTAACATTAGTAGTACTAGTAGTGGCTTACTTCAGGGGGCTGTTCCAGAAAGCAGGTTATGTGACATACCCGGGTAAGTTTGAGAGTATGTAGGTGGATAACCTCAACTTTGGTTCCAAAATCGGAGGTAACTTCTGGGTATGTTAAGTAGCCATAGCAACTTACTCTCTGAAGATAACCTGCTCCAGAGCAGGTTATGTTCAGAGAGTAAGTTGCTATGTTTTAGAGTTTGTCTGTTTTAGAGAGTTTACTGAGCATTGCATGCTCTTTTGATGGGAATATTTATGGATATGGACACACAAATACAAGTTTTTTCGTTGTGAGAGGGTTATAAGTGCATAGTTTTTTTCATAACCAAATTCATAATGTCAATGTATTTAACAAACCTTTTTGAAATCAAATGTGACAAACCCCGGGTCTGCGCTTACCATAAAAAACATTCAGTGCAGCTCTTTGTATTCGCGTCAGGGCATTTTAGGCAACTGTACAATGTGGCAGTATGACCACCTGTACAGTATGCCTGGCACTGAACTGTTTTTTACACTTTCGTACAGTTCCTTGGTCATAAATCACTGCGTATCATTACACAGAAGATTCAGAGCACGGCAATAGAGTAGTGGACAGTGCGTCGATAAAGAACAACGGAGCGCACAACGGAGTGAGTTCGAATCTCACATAAAGATTGTGTGTTTTTTCTCTCCTTTTGCACCCTCACATTTCTGTATAATATTATAAGTGGCAGCTTTGTCTTTTGTAGGAAAATATATCTATAATTTAAGATGTAGGACGTCGTTCTTATATATATATACATTCACGCACACACACCTACATTTTTTAATATAATATTTTTTTCAGGGTTTCTAAATGCTATTGTGTGCATTAATTGCAGCCGATTTTAAAGCTCCATCAGTCACTAAAGGACACTGATAATATAAAATTTGTCCAAAGTATAAGTGTGCAGGTACAACTTAATTTTCTATCCTTAATCTTTTGATGTTTCAACTATTAAACTCATTACTGCTTCCACTTACCAGCTCATCACACACCCCACCTCATCACTATGTTGAGGTCAAATGGCTGATTGTCAGGAAATAATGATTCAAGTGTTTAATACAAATATAGTAAAAAAAAAAAAAAAACTATAAAGCAAATGTTGCTTAACACAATGTTTATTTTTATTATATTTGTATTATACAATAGAATCATAGGCACTACATTGTTACTTGCTGGAGGACAAAAGATACCCTTTTCTGCCTTATACGATGACACGTACCTGCAGCCTGACCCAGAGGAAATCTCAGTGACCCAAGCAGACAAAACAGATGGAAGAGTGCTAAAAAAATATTATTAGTCAAAAAACTATGTTTAATTAAATAGTTTGGTCTGTTCATTTCTTCATTTCCTGAAATAAAATGAATGATTTTGTACACTGCTTTACACACGCACCTTTAAACGTGTAACATATTTTTCATATACATTTCTCACCTTAAGTTGATGCTCATGTGACTTTATATTTGAAGATGGACCTTATACAGCTACTTTAGAATTTAAATATGTAGATAAAAGATTTTGTGATCCAAGAGTAATATTCAAATATGAAAAAGTGCAGAAAATTCTTACACTGCTTGTTAGTTGAGGCAGAAGGAACTTCGTCTGCATGCAAAATAAAAAGAACCTAAAGCTATCTGACAACAATCACTTACAACAGTGACAGAGTGTGTGGTTTAAGTCAAAAACTCAACCACTGAAAAGCCTTTATTATAGGACACAGCAGTTAGACAGGCCTCTTTCTATTAGCTGCATGTCAGAAAGCATATTCTAGAGTGTTAAATAAAGAGCTCCAGTAATTAAATATTACCTTTAATAATAATGTTTCTGTGTTTAATGACTTTGGACAGAGTTCTAGCTCCAGAAAGATTACAATTTCTATAAGCCTTATTTGTCAATACACATATTGTGGCCTTAAGAAATTAATGGAAGGAAAATTAAATGCATGAATGGTTACACAACATACTCAAAAAGGATGTTAAAGAGTAGTTTAATTTATCATTACAATAAAATGGAGGGTGGCATGTGTAATTTAATGAACTAATACATTTTCTTATTATTTATTTTTTATTTTCTTATCTATTTCTTATTCTATATTTCTTTCCTTCGTTGAAGCAGATGTGTAATCTCTGTGTTTAAAACCTCCAGCTTCGACTCTGTAAAGTGCGTTGCCCTTTTTTTCTTACCGTGACTTTCTATGGTGACTCGTGAATTCGGCGATCTACTGAAAATGCCTTCAGGTGTGTGCCGTGCACGCGCATTAACCCGCGGTTATCTTCAGGAGGTTGATTTAACTAACTCTTGTCACCTGTTTTGGAACCAACATACTCGCGGTAAGCAGGTTTTGGGTAAATCAACCGAGAGTTTAGGTTTTAGCAGATGGTAAGTTAACCCAGCTTTCTGGAATACCCCCCAGTACTTAGGCTACTAGTGTTTGTTTATAAAGTATACTGGCACTTAACACTGCTTAATCATTAGATTAGTATTACTGGTACCTAATAAATATAGTCTAGATTTTATAACATACTAGTATTTATTTATCAGATTTTGTACTATTAGACAATTATTTATTAGATTTAGATACTGGGTGGTAAGGTGGCTTATTGATTAGGACTGTCGCCTCACAGGAGGAAGGTGATTTCAGCTAGAGGCATTTCTGTGTAGAGTTTATGTTCTGGTACTGCTGTTTTCCCCACAGTTCATTGACATGCGGTATAGCTGATTTTCATTCATTCATTTATTTTCTTTTTCGGCTTAGTCCCTTTATTAATCCGGGGTCACCACAGCGGTATGAACCACCTTCTTATCCAGCAGGTTTTTACACAGTGGATGCCCTTCCAGCCGCAACGCATTTCTTGGAAACATCCACACACATTCATTCACACTCATACACTACGGACAATTTAGCCTATCCAATTCACCTGTACCGCATGTCATTTGACTGTAGGGGAAACTGGAGCACCCGACAGAAACCCACACAAACGCAGGGAGAACATGCAAACTCCACACAGAAACGCAAACTGACCCGGCTGAGGCTTGAACCAGCGACCTTCTTGCTGTGAGGTGACAACACTATCTACTGCGCCACTGTGTTGCCATAGCTGATTTAGGTAATTGATCTTAATTTGTAGAAGTGTGTGTGTGAATTTGAGTGTGTGGATATTTCCCAGCACGAGTTAGTGTACTCTCAGTATTGGGTTGTGTCAGGAAGGATATTTTAAGTTTAACAAGTTTGTAATTTATTCTGCTTTGGCGATCAGGGACTAAGCTGAAAAACAGTGAGTGGTTAGCTATTAGTGTAGGGCAATGAAGACCCATGTATGTTAACTTATACAGTCATAGAAGTTCTTAGAATAACCGCCTGTAACACTCCTGGGTTTTTTCACTGTCGTACACAACAGCATTTATCCAATAGATACTAGGAAACATTTTTAAGATATTATAAGTTTGAAATTGTACTATGATTTTTTTTTTCATTTAATATATATTTTTTTATTATTGAGATGAGACTGTTGAAGTTTTGATTATTAAAACAAATATTTAAATTAAAGACGTCTAATCATAGATTTAAATTAAATAGACATTTTAGTTCCTAAATTTATATAAGTTTATATCACTGTATTCATTTGTGTTTTAGTTGAGTTAATTTTAAGTTACACTAAATAAAACTATAAAATATTGTGCCAAAAAGACTAAATAAAAAAAATGGATTATTTTATATTGCATTTTCGTTCATTCAATGTTTATTTAGTTAAACAATTTTTATTTGAAATGTTATTTAAAATATGACGTAATCCCTTTTCTTTTTTGCTTTAATTAACTATAATAACCCTGTTTCCTATAGTGTCTATCCTAAATTAATCCCAAGCATTTACTGCAAGGTTTATACATTAGGCGCTGTTGTTTAATATTTAAATTATACATCCCGAGAAAACAGTTTTTCTAAAGCCTGTAAATAACATTTTCATATTAATATCATGAAACAGTGCAGCGTTTGTAATAGTAAAGAAGCACAAATCACACTTTATGGCTTTTAAAAGCAATTTAATTATGATTTACATTCTAGATACATAACAAGACACTTGACTAATGATTTAAAAGTATCTGCTCTACATTCCTCAAGAGTTTCAGTCTGACCTTCAAATTGCACTTAAAAAGTGTGTCCTTTCATGCATTATTGATTCCTGTGGGTAAAAAAAAGAGAGAATTTGTACTTGCAATTTAAGCTGCATGATATTAGTTAATTGCACTTGCAGAAGTCAACATACTTGAAAGTGTCGCCTTTACTTTGAATCCACATTACAAACTCCTTCTTCAGCAGATCATTGAAGATGTGAGATTCTGGATCTTCAGTCAGAGCCGGTCTAGAAATAAGCATCAGATGGACATCAGAGCTTTACTTTTTGTGTTCTACTAAATATATATGAACTGCTGCTCATTAACTCAAACTCACTCGCTCTTCTTCTCTCTCTGATTCAGCAGAAAGTTCACAAAGTTTTTCTGAACCATCGAGTCCACGATTTTGCTAATGTCGCTGGCAATAGTTGATTCAGCATATCGGCGACTGAGCTTCTGGATGTCCTTTGGTGAGCTATGGATTATACTTTAACAAAACAAGCAAATCAAATAAATGTCAGAAATATTCTCTCAGAGATGTTCTTTGATATATTCCTGATATTATAGGTCAGTTATAATTTTGATATTATTTTATGTTGGTCAAAAGAAGGTTCTTTTAACATTAGGTAAAAAATAATATGTATAGTCATTATATATTTACCATGTTTTAAAGAAGGTACCCACTAAAGTCTCAATCAGTGTAACAGTATAGGTTATATACCAAACAAATCTAATTCATTCATTCATTCATTCATTTTCTTTTTGGCTTAGTCCCTTTATTAATCAGGGGTTGCCACAGTGGAATGAACCACCAGCTTTTCCAGCTTATGTTTTACGCAGATGCCCTTCCAGCTGCAACCCATCACTGGGAAACACCCATACACACTGATTCACACACACACACACACACTCATACACTATGACAGTTTAGCTCATCTAAATCACCTATAGCGAATGTCTTTAGACTTGTGGGGGTACCCGGAGCACCCGAAGGAAACCAATGCAAACACGGGGAGAACATGCAAACTCCACACAGAAATGCCACCTGAACCTGCCGAGGCTTGAACCAGCGACCTTCTTGCTATGAGGTGACAGAACTACATACTGCGGCACCGCACCATCCACAAATCTAATTCTACATATGTAAACAAATAATTTTAGAATCTTTCAATACAAAAGTTATTAGTAATCACATTTTTCATAATATATTAATTTACTTTAAGTACAGGTCAGAATAAATGTGTTGTTTAATGTTACGATGAATTATGATGGAACATGATGTTTTCAGCATTTTGACATTTTAACTTCATGAATGTTATTTGGAGCATTATCCACACACTTTACCTGGATTTTATATGAATTTTTGTATATGTAACATATATTTTTTACATTTTATTTTATGCAACAAAATGCAATTTACAACACTTTCCTAACTTCAACACTAAATATTTAGGCATTATGACGATGCATTTGTTATTTATTAATCATTGTTAACAAAATTAATAACAATTTCAGCTGGACTTTATTACTTCATCTTAGCTCAGCCTATTTAATGCTATGAAATATACTATACTATAATACTAAAAGTTAAATTTGAATTGAATAATGTACATTAAAATTAGTTTCCATTACTGGGTTGCGGCTGGAAGGACATCCGCAGCATAAAATATACAGTATGCTGGAATAGTTGGTGGTTCATTCCTCTGTGGCAACCTCTGATAAATAATGGACTAAGCTGAAGGAAAATGAATGAATGTATTGAAATGAGATGAATGTGAATCTAGGCTAAAATAATAAATCCTTTGATTTATAACAGCATGTTAATTTCTACTGATTAATCAATGGAATCTTTGCCCAAAAGGCTGATGCATTTCAAACAGTAACCATTTTGCATTTGATCATCAGCAGTTATACCTAAAGTGATAGTTCACCCAAAAGTAAAAATTGTCACCATTTACTCTTCACTACTCTTCACTTGTTCCAAATCTGTTAAACTTTTTCTTCTATTGAACACATAAAAAAAAGATATTTTGAGGAACGTTGAAAACCTCCACTGACTTCCACAGTTTTTCTGTATATCAATGGTTACTGGTTTCCAAAATTCTTCAAACTATCTTCTTTTGTGTTCAACAGAAAAAAGAAATTCATATTAAGGTTTGGGACTAAGGGCAAGTACGTTTTTATTTTTGGTGAACTATCCTTTTAATTATTATCTTACCTGCTATCAAGTGGCTGGGATCCTGCGGATGACCAGACACTTCCAAGGCAAATCAAAACCAGCGCAAACATCGCAGCCTTCATTTTTTTCCCTCCCCGTAATACTTCAAATGAGAGAGAAAAAATACTGAACGAATCCAACAACTGAAAAGCTGAATGCAAATGTCTTTAGACGTACCTTTTCTGCTTCAGAGGGACCTGGGTCTGCTCTTAAACTGGTGTATGACTCTCCAGAAATCTGAATGCCTCTTTTATACAGTGTGGTTGACATTAACTTATTTCCACATCATCAAAATAATTCATAACAAACGCAACACGTTGAAATAAAAGCTGATAAGACTGCTTTTTCTTACAGGCCTTAGGTGTCAAATCTATTTACACTCTTTGTGTTTTGTACTGGAAAAAGCACATAGTGGTGGAACTGAAAATATAGAAATGGGGCCATTAAACTATTAGTTTTTAAAGGCAAACAAGTGAAATCTGAGCAGTATAATGGCTGGTGTAAAATGTTTCCAAGCTAATTATTATTTTAAGTAAAGTAAACAGATTATATGTTTCCTAAAAGGTTCTTATGTCCCCGTGGAAAAAATGAATAGTGCTGATTGATTAGCAGTCATTAAAGGAAAGAGAAGTGAAAATGTCTATACGCTTACAGTATGAAGGCAATATTTGATTGGAAACCCATTTAATCATATTCTGTGCATATATAAAAGGGTCAGCAAAACTTTGATGCCATGCCAAATTGGATTTACAAAAACGTAGGATGTCGTAATGTAAAAATGATAAAACAGGGATAGTTCACAACAAAAAGAACATTTAAGTCATTCGAAACCTATATTTATTTTCTTCATATATACATGAAATAATGTGTTTTAATATGAAATAATATATTTATTTAATATAATGTGCAAAAATAATATATAAAAATATATAAAAGGAAGCCAATTGCAGTTTTGTCTAAGATACTTTAGTATTATTTTGTGTTCAACATAAGAAAGAAACTCAAAGTTTGAAACAAGAGTAGTTAAATGATTTAACGTTTTTAGGTGAACTATCTCTTTAAATGTAAGTAAATCACAAGTTGTTGCCTTAAGTGTTCAACATTTGTCATTTTAATTCAAATTACATTAAACTGACTTTCAAATCAAAACTTTGTTGGCTTGTACAATTTTTAAAAATTAAGTTAAAAAAATTCAAAAACATGATTAACTTAGTTTAACAAATTCGTATTAATATAAAAAGGATCATACAATATTTTACCTTGAGGCTGAAGAATGTTATAGTTGTTAGATGATTGCAGAAAGTTTTGAAGAGGATTGATGACAGATAAGACTGCCTGAAATTTGTTCTAACATGGAAGACAGGTGCAATGTGTAATATGTCTTGATGATACATTTTTGATTTTATTGGTTCTTTGCTGTTTATTTGTTATTTTCTGTTTTAAGTTTTTTAAACAAACAACCTCCTGTCTAATATATGTAAGTGATCTATAAGTAAACAACATATGCTTTACTTTAACGTACATTAATTTTAACATACATTAATCATGTTACAACAATCTATTTTAAAGTGCTTAGTGCAATTTAAGTTGAAATTAATTATAAAGTTAACTTTGAAAACTGAACTTTAAAAGCAAAGAAGCAACTCTTTTTTATTGTGTATACTTCAGAATTAATTATTAATCTTAATATTTATAGAGTCATTTTATTTATTTATTATCATTTTTTTAAATGCAATATAATTAAATGCAACATTAAGTGCAAAATGTACAGTGTGTAACAAATCATTTTCTTGTAATTATGCTTTTTTACAGTAAATGGCACAAAGAACAGTGTTTTGTCATCACATGATTATTGTTCTAAATATGTGTGAAGAGATTTTATTTAATAAACTATCGATACACAGAATGACGTTATCTGTAAATCATCATAAAATGTTTGGCAGTCATTATTGCATTATTATTATTAATGTTATTGGTTTCATTAGTAAACATGTACATTTATTCATTCATTTTCTTTTTGGCCTATTCCCTTTAGTATAAATATGATACATTATAATATTTAGTATTCTGTCGTTTAAAAGCAAGTTCTTCTTATCTTTAAGTTTTTATTTTCCTTACACAAAATATAAAGTGTAAACATTTTGTGTATTTTGTAATAGCTCAGTTTTTATTTTTTTAATTATATGAAAAATACATATAATACACACTAACAACAACAACAACAATAATAATAACAATAATAACAATAATAACAATAATAATAATAATAATAATAATAATAATAATAATAATAATAATAATAATAATAATGATAATAAAACCACTAAATTCGAAAGCTTTTATTTTGAAAGCACAACTTCCGGCGTGTGTGCCCTCACAAAATCGGTGTGTTTCTGTACCCTGCACTGCAGTGTTATCAGTGCAGTAAAATAGGATTTTATTTAAAAAGCACATGAAATCGTCGCCTTTGCATGTTTTCAAAATATGCATGTATTAAAACACGCGTGTCAGCAGACAAGAAAACGCCGACGTCAGCGTTAGTTAATAATAAACGCATAGTTAATCGGATATTGCCAACTAACCAAGTTATTTCACAGTCATGATGGACTATTTTCTTTGGCCGTCTGTGCTCTTTACACTTCTTGCAGGAATAGTAGCAGCATTTGTTCTGGTAAAAAACAAACCCGCTCATCATCAAAGCAGTGTTGTTGTGGAGGAAGAAAAGAAAGCAGATGCTGGAGTTTCCTCACAGGAACAACACTGTGAGCACTGGGATGAATCCTGTCAGCTTAAAACTGTCGAAAAGAGACTTCAAACTGAGGATAAAACTTTAGAGAAAGCAAAGGTAAGGGCTTGTTTTGATTTATGAACGCTGTTGTCATTTCTTACAAGCTAGAAGAAAGCATAAAGGGAATTGTTTATTGTCTGTTTACTGCAGGATTTAAACAGAGATGATCTGGAAGAAGATGCTCTGGTTCAACCCACTGCACGGGAAGAGGAGCCTGGGATACGGAGTGCTCTGAGGGAGTATGCCTTTTCACCTGGTAATATAATATTAATAAACCAATTTAATAATCTATTAATAATAATAATAATAATAGTCTCTTTTAATAGTGGAGGTTACTAGCAATGGTATAAAATTAAAAGCACACACAGTTGGAGTCAGCCCCCCTGTATTATTAGCCCCCTGTTTATTTTTCCCCCAATTTCTGTTTAACAGAGAGAAGATTTTTTCAACACATTTCTAAACATAATAGTTTTAATAACTTGTTTCTAATAACTGATTTATTTTACCTTTGTCATGATGACAGTACATAATATTTGACTAGATATTTTTCAAGACACTTCTATACAGCGTAAAGTGACATTTAAAGGCTTAACTAGATTAATGAGGTTTACCAGGCAGGTTAGGGTAATTAGGCAAGTTATTGTAAAGCCGAAATAAAACAAACAAGAATTTTTCTAGTGGAAAAAAATATTATCAGACATACTGTGAACATTTCCCCTCTCTGTTAACCTTTAGAGACCTAGAGGTATTTTGTGGGAACCTAATGGGCCTATATTATTATTTTTTTAAAGCAGTTTTATTTTATTTTAGCAGTCAGCCTAAAGTGTCATGTATTATTTTAAACAGGAGAACCTGAAGCTTCAATCTGTATCATTTAAAGGTCCAGTCTAAAATATTTATTGGTCCAAAAACATATGAACAGACAGAAAATATTACAAAATTTTAAGATAAACGGTTAAAAAAAGTGGCATTTTCTAGTTATTACAAACAAAACCTTGTGAAGTTAATTTTTTTTTTTTTTTTTTTTTTTGAAATACATGCTTTGTTGTTATATACTTATATAAATTTTGTCTACATCCACCTTTCCCTGAGCAGGTAATAGCATTTTATTCCATTGTTATTCTAGGCGTTTTTCAGTAATAAAACTGGTAAATTCTATTTACTGACAATGAAGACGCCCAAGATGTTTGCATTTTTTGTTTTCTCTTACTTATTTTAGCAGAAAGCATCAAGTGACATATATATTTTTAACAGGAGAAGCTAAAGTTTCAATCTTTATCCTTAAAAATTCAAATTTTTCATTTTTATGACAAAAAAAGAAAAATTTTACAGAATTTTAAGAAAAACTACAAAATTATGTAGCATTTTATACAGCTAACATGAACAAAATCTCTTGAAGTTTGCTTTTGTTTCTTTAGATAGTTATGCTAGATATGATGCTTTATACATCCAGCATGCATTTTGTCTACATCCACCATTCCCTAAGCAAGTTATAGCAATTTATTTCAATGTTATTCTAAGACGTTTTTCAGTGGGAAAAAAAACTAGTGCATTTATTTACTGGCAATGTATATGCCCAAAAGTTCTGGAAATAAACTAAACAGACAAAATAAAAGAACACTGAAGCAAGTTTGACTTTTTCCAAATGATATGTTTTCAGTTACCATAAACAAATAAACAATGAACAACTTCGACAATGAACAAATAAAAAAAAGAAAAGAAATAATGTTTCAAAGTCCAAATAAACATAGTGCAAATCCTCAGTAAAAAGTAGTTATAAATATTTACTATACTATAAAAAGTTACATAACTAAACTAGATTCAATATGGACCATCCTTAGGTTTTATGTGCCAGCATGGATATTGTGTTGACCCTTCTGCTTCTCAACTTTTGGGTCGCAGACAAACAGCCGCACACCTTTTGCGTCCTTAGAAAACAGCAAGACCAGCACTTCGTCTTTGCTGTGTCACTGTTTTGTCATGTTTTTGTGCTGTTGTGCATGCAAAAGTACTTAGTATGAGGATTATTTAATGCAAAACTTTTTTTTTGCGTTTTATTTAGCCGTGCATTGTACAGCCTATTTCTCATTCCGGGCTGTTCAAATTGCTGATTGGTGGTCCACAAAGCGAAACCTATGCCTATTGGTTGAGAGAGAGCGAGTTTGAACCAATCTGGGCATGGAGGAGGGTTGCCAAAATGTGATGACATAACCACACTAATTCCGGAGCCTCTGAAGGTCCGTGAATGTTATATGTTACAGCTGAGACTCTCTTCTTTATGCCAATCTTTGAATTGTACGGATCGGATCAGCGGATCAAATTTAGTGACACGTTTTTCACTATTATTATCATCCTTTTACGTTATTTTGTATCCGCCAAATATAACCAAACATCCGCGATCGATTTAGTAGTGGAAATCCTCTCTCGTTTACCCGTTTCATTCTGTGTGCTCGAGACCTGTCAACACTCCCACAGACAGTCTCACATGCTCTGCAAACACAAAGAGATGCTCCTTTTTGGCACTGAAAAATTTGTCTGGCCAGAATTTCTTAATCTTCTAAAGGTCCAGGATTCAGCTTTTGCTTTCTAAAGCTGTGGTTAATCATGTGTGTTTTTGCATTAACTTTTTACTTAAGCCTACTTTCGCTTTTTAAAGCTGGACGAGTGAAACTTTTAATAATTCATTCTTTAAAGGTGCAGTAGGTGATCTGCACCTTGATCCCCTTGTAGGTGATCTTTCGACGGCAGGGAGGGACTGTTACAAAGCCACGCCTCTTGAAATCAGGTGCGCGCCCACCACGACACAACAGCAGACAACCTAGTTTATTCGCCAGTTAGAAATGTATGTAGTGGTTGGCCGGGTGCCGTGCAGGAATTTCACTTATTACTAAGCCACACTTACATGCTATTTTAGACTGAATATTTAAAGTAGCGGTAAACAATATCAGGAGCGCGTCACAGGCTGTCATTGTTCAGAAATGACCCAATGTGAATATAAAAGCAACTTTAACTCAGTATAGCAGGCTAGGCGGAATTGCGTTAATTACTGATGTTTTGTTGTTAAACTGAATATAAATCTACATCATCGATGCTGTAAAAGCTCGCTCATGAAACTAAAAATATTCACATCTACCTTCCACCGGGAGATTTCAGTGGCTAAACAACACGTCTGTGCAAAGAACCCATTTATAACACAATACACTCTATATCAGCTCTGTGTGACTAAAATAGTTTTAAAACAGAACATTACCTCTCTAAAAGAAATACTTCAGCCATTGTGCAAAAGGTCCAGCGTGCAAAAGTAACTGATTCAGGAGTTTAAAAAGTTTCAATTCAGCATTTGATTTTGACGCAACTGACAGTCTCATGTGCACGTGTCGCTCATCTAGGCGTGCAAGCGTGGCAGGCATGCACACGCTAATGGCGGAAATGCGTGACCAGAGATGCGCAAAAGCCCAAATCTGCATTTGTTGACTGACTTTTTTTTACCCCTTTTTTTGCAGGGGTAGACCTTTCTACATATTGTCATGCTTTGCTGGAATAAATGTATAATAAGAATAATCAGAAAGCCGTCTTGAGGATTATTAATAAAATATGGAAAGACAAAACAATCTTGTCAGTAAATTTATTTCAGCAAGTGGCATATTTGGAAAAAGCAGCAGCAAAACTGAATCAGAGGATGGCTCATAAAATAGGTTATGTATATAACATAAGGGAATTTTTGGCAATGCTCAGGGGGATGTTTGGTGAAAGTGGAGATAAAAAGCCTGAAATTTAAATATTGCGTTTTTTATGAGCCCAGTCTGGTAGGGTGGTGAAGCTGTGAACATAGTGCAGTTGGTTTAAGTCTGCAAATCATCTTTTCTACAACAGATGCTGAGAGTAAGCCTTTGAAGTACATGGCAGGCATGCTTAGGACCTGCCAGCTGGAAAAGATGATGACCAAAGAAGAGCTTGAGGAAGAGCAGAGGTGATTTCTTTTTTGTTCTTCACTGACACTCATGCTTGTAGTTTGTTTCTCTTGGTTTGTTTGGTCTGGATCAAAAAAAGGGAAGATACATTTAGCCCAGATTCACTTAGCATTCATACTGTCATGTTGTAAAATCAAACCTAAAGACATACACAAACTTAAAAAAAAAACAGCTTTTACGAAATATATCTTGTTAAACATCAACAACAATGTTGTGTGCTGAGCTAAACATAACAGGTGCATAAAATGTCCCTGGCATAGGACTCTAATCTTCCTCTGTTGTCACTACACTTTTAATCCTCTCTGTTGGGCTTTAAACTGGAGTGACACACAGAAGACAGTCATAAGCACTCACGACACAGTCCTCCTTGTTTTCCATAATACTCGTCTGTTATAGTCATAGCGCCACCTGCTGTTGATTAAAACTGTGCTACAGATAATTGTTAAATTCCTTCCATGTTTACCAGCTTAAATGCATCAGGCCCACTTTTCACTGTTGTCATTAAACACTGTTTTCCTGCTGGCTCCAGGTGTTAGGGCTTGTGGGTTGAATTTACAGTGTAAAGGATTTATTTTTATTTTTTTATTTACAATTTTAACAATACAGACATACACTCACCGGCCACTTTATTAGGTTCACTTCACTATCCTTAATCATATGTGACTTGGTTTCAACAAGGTACTGGAAATATTCCTCGGAGATTTTGCTCCATATTGACATGAGAGCATCACACAGTTGCTGCAGATTTGTCAGCTGCACATTCATGATGCAAATCTCCTGTTCCACCACATCCCAAATGTGCTCTATTGGATTTAATGCTGGTGACTGGGAAGGCCATTTGAGTACAGTGAACTGAGTGTCATGTTCAAGAAACCAGTCTGAGATGATTTGTGCTTTATAACATGGCGCGTTATCCTGCTGGAAGTAGCCATCAGAAAATGGGCACTGTGGTAATAAAGGGATAGGCATGGTCAGCAACAATAATCAGGTAGACTGTGGTGTTTACACGGTGCTCAGTTGGTACTAATGGGCCCAAAGTGTTGAGAAAATATCTCTCACACCATTACACTACCAGCCTGAACTGTTGATAGAAGGGAGGATGGATCAATGTTTTTATGTTGTTGACAGCAAATTCTGACCCTATCTGAATGTAGCAACAAAACTTGAGACTCCTCAGACCAGGGGTCCGTTCTTTGTACCTCGCTTAAATGATCTAAGATGATTTGACAGGTCCTGGATCTTTTAATCTTGATAACTGATCTCTCGCTAATTTGGTTCTTCAAACAAGTTCGCTAATCAGATTAGAATGTCTAGATAAACTGATCTGAGATCGCTGCGTGTGTTGTGAAGGACAGATCTATCGATCCTCAAAATCATGATCAGCAATGCAACGATTGGCTGACGGCACAGCAGCGTAATGACATCATCTGATTGATATTCAATTATCCATGTGAGCAAAATTACATCAAATTAGCAGTAAACGGCTTGTTAAATATGACACGCAATAACCTTCCACATTTGTTGTGAGCTGCAGGCTTTCCACGTTCATGTGTCAAGAGTATTCATCATGTATTTCAATGCAAATCAATGTATTTAGTTCTACATTTAGAAAAGATTTTCTTTATTATGGTAGCCGTTTTTTAATTGGTGTAAAGAATAACTGGTTGTTTACAAAACCATTTTCATATTGGTAAAGGTGTCTGCAACTTTTGTGAAGCATCAAATCACTGGCATATTAACTGCCAAAAGATGTTTATGACTGCATAAATGTATAATTTCTTAAAAAAAAGTCACATATTGTGCATTTCTATTATACACAATTTGTACTAAAGCGATCTAAAAAGTTCATATCAATAAGTTTTCTCTTTGCACCACCAGGTGGCAGTCTTTGTACTTTCATTTCGAGGGTGCAGATTGCATAAGTTTTATTAATATGTATAACTTTATTTATTTTATTAATGACTATAACTTTATATATATAGTTAAAAATATGTACCATTTTCCTAAGTGTATATAACTACTACTGTAAGAAAATATCAGAATTCAGAACATACTTTCTGTATTATCTTTGCATGAACTGAGCCGATCTAATCCTGTTTATATGAATTGAACCTGCTCCCGATCAGGTTTGACCTAGCAGAACTGTTGCTATGACAACAACTCTCGGATCAGCTTTGAAGAACGAAACGATCCTGGATCGTGTCAAATCGTCAATATCCAAATCCAGCTAATTGAGTAATCCACGTACGAAGAACGGACTCCAGGCAACATTTTTCCAATCTTCTGTTGTGTAATTTTGGTGAGCCTGTGGGAATTGTAGCCTCAGTTTCCTGTTCTTAGCTGACAGGAGTGGCACCCTTTGTGGTCTTCTACTACTGTTGCCCATCCGCCTTAAAGTTTGACGTATTTGTGCGTTCAGAGATGCTTTTCGGCATACCTTGGTTGTAACAAGTGGTTATTTGTGCTACTCTTTGCCCAAATAACTGCCACTGACTAAATATTTTGTCTTTTTCTGACCATTCTTTGTGAACCCTAGAGATAGTTGTGGGTGAAAATCTCAGTAGATCAGCAGTTTCTGAAATACTTCGTCTGGCACCAACAATCATGCCACGTTCAAAGTCACTTAAATCATCTTTCTTTCCCATTCTGATGCTCGGTTTGAACTGCAGCAGATCGTCTTAACCATGTATATATGCCTTAATACATTGAGCTGTGCTCAAGACAAGGTGTCGTGGTTATGACAAAATGGCAGATGTAGTACGTCTGAGTTCCGTTCATACTGTAGAACGTACTATTCTAATGGCCGAGTAGTACAGTAATTCAAATACTACTGAGTAGTAGGCAGTTTTGGATGCAGCCTATGATTTTGTTGACAGCTGCAGGTTGTTTGACTAATTTATCAATTTATAGGCACAAATCTTCATAATATTAAAAATATACAATATAATCAAAATAAGCCTTACACTGGCTCTCTCTCTCTTTTTTTGCATTTATAGTTTGCTCTTAGATGCACATAATGCAAATATTTTACTGTTTGCATTAAGAGTCGCATTTGGTTTGTTTAATGCCTTGTTTGATTTATGGCTAAGCTAGATAAACAAAGTGCATTTTCTGTTTGAACAGCATACACTTTAGCACAGCTCAATAGTCATATTAGATAAACTCAGTGTTATGTATAGATTCTTTTCATGATGTATATTTATTAATAAAAGAAATGTGAAAATGATCACAACACTGCTTATAGAATCATGTCATTCTTTCTTCCCAAAGTTTTAATTTACATAAGAATTGTTGTATGATTTCTAAATGAAAATTCTTTCTACACTTGCCTCTTTTAAAATTAAATCCTGACTCTGGACCAATCTTATTTACACTTTAAATGGAGCAAATATTTACAAAGGCGTTCTTGAAGTTGTAGCGTGAAATGCATATATGCTTAACCTGTCTATTTGCCCATTGTTCCTTTAGACCCGGATAAACACGTCATAACAGTGCAAATGAGAATCGAGTTCACCCAAAAATTTAAATTCTGTGACTTGACACAAACTGGTTTGATTTTCTTTTTGAAAAATGTTAAAAAGGTGAATTATTTTCAAAAAAAAGTTTGGAATCACTTAATGGTGGGTAAATGGTGAGTAAATTTTAATTTGTGGGTGAAAACTAACCCTTTTAAATGATTTGTTAACTTCACTTAAATGAAGTGAGTAAACCTGTTGCCTTAAAATTAAGTAAATTAAGTAAGAAAAAAAAAATATTTTTTTGGATGTACTGTACCTGAGGGTGAGTAAATTTTTATTTGTGGGTGAACTCTTTACGCTCATCTGAAAGGATAATGTTAATATCTTTAACCATTATTTTTCATTTGTGCATAATTTTGGACAACTGGATGTGTAAATAGGCTATAAGCTGTCTTTATTCATGTAAATCTTTCTAATGTCATTTTTGTACATTCGTGGTCTGTATATTAGGTTTACCCATTTTTCTGAATAAAAAAAAGATTTATTTAAGGCTAAAAACAACATGTTAATTTTATGAACCTTTTTTTGTTACAATTATTTATACATTCATTCATTTATTTATTTTCTTTTCGGCTTAGTCCCTTATTAATCTGAGGTCACCACAGCGCAATGAACTGCCAACTTATTCAGCACATGTTTTATGCAGCGGATGCCCTTCCAGCTGCAACCCATCTCTGGGAAACACACATACACATTCATTCACACTCATACACTACGGAAAATTTAGCTTAGCCAATTTATTTGTGCCACATGTCTTTGGACTGTGGGGGAAACCGAAGCACCAGAAGGAAACCCACACGAACGCAGGGAGAACATGCAAACTCCACACAGAAACGCCTACTGACCCAGCTGAGACTCGAACCAGTGACCACTGCGTTACCTTGTTACAATTATTTAAAAATTATTTGCAAGGTGTCAGGTAAATATTTGCTCATAGCTTTTAGCATGGTATCAGGATACATATCAGCAATATATATTTTATAAAATGTGTGTTGTGTTTCAGGGTTCAACGGGAACAGTTGACTGCCATCTTCCAGCTGCTCAAAGACAAACAAGAGACATTTGGTGAGGTGACAGAGAGTGATTTACAAGAACAGCTTAAACTCTACTCTATTTGACAGATCAGCTAAAAAAAGCTCTCTGTTGTGTTCAGGCGATTTTTATATTCTTTATGCCAGTGCTCAAGTTAATACCATTTACAAATAATTCACAAATGATTTTATTTGATCAGATTAATTGAAATCACAGACTTTAATAATCACTGGAATATTAGTATTGACATTCTTTAGACATTCTGTTGACTTTAAATTACTTTGCCTCTACAGTTGAAGACATAATAGCAATGCACTGTTGTTGCATTATTGGTCACACTGTATTTTACAGTACAATTCTTACTATTAACAAATCATTAACTATGACTTGTTGCTCAATAATCTCCTAATGTGTTGCTTATTAATAGTCTGACATTTAAAAATAAATGTGGTGAATATTAATAAATACAACATAAGTATTCATAATTTTTTATTAATTTTAATAAAATGTAAATTCTTTTATAATATTTCCCAATTTTGTTTAACAGAGAGAATATGTTTTAAAACATTTGTAAACAACAGTCTTAATAACTTATTTCTACTAATTTATTTTGTCTTTTACCCTTATTGCAGTCCATACTTATTAGTTATTCTGCAAGATACTAGTATTCAGCTTAAAGTGCACTTTTACATCTTAACTAGGATAATTAGGTTAACTAGTTAGATTAATACAGCAAATCATCAGAGAATAGTAGTTTGCTCTGTAGCCAAGTGAAAAAAACAAATCTTAAGGGGGCTACTAATATTCACCCTCGCCGGTTAAAATTTTTATTCCTTAAAATGTATTCTTTATTAAATGCTGTGAAATAAGTCATTATTATTTGGGGAAAATAATACAAATTTTCACAGGAGGGCTAATAATGGTGTCTTTTTTACATGTATACTAACGCTTCATAAAGTATTAGTAGATTGTTAGGTTTGGGTTGGTAGAATAAGTCGACGTAATAATGTGAAGGACAACCAAATTAAAGTGTGATATTAAGCAGACCATTTTTTAAAGGCAGAGTTCACCCCAAAAATGTACTCCTGAAATTGTTTCTCTCATCTGTTTAACATAAAAGAAGATACTTTAAAGATACCCAAAAACCGACAACCATTGCCTTTTTTTTTGAGAATTTTTTTTTTCTGCCGTAAAAAAATCAATGCTTACAGTTTTTTTTCCATCTTCTTCTGGATGTTCAACAAAAGAAGAAATTCATAAATATTTTAAATAAATAAAGGACGAGTAAATGATGACAGAATTTTCATTTCGGGTGAACTATCCCTTCACACTCTGAAAGCCTGTTCACGTCAAGAACAAATATGATAATTTCATGATATGAATATTTACGTTATTGCTTTACCTTTAAAGTCAACAGAATATCTAAAGGGAACCATCAAAATACAGTGATACCATTGAATGAAGAAATGTTTGTTTGACTTGTATGTATATATTTTTTTCATGTTCATGAATACAATACTGCACATAAGTAATGAAGAATCACAAAAGTCTGAAAAGGTTAAGTCTAAAGTCACTCAAAGTTTATTGGCCAATCCATGTTTAATATGTGCAGTATGAACTGTAATGACACTGTAATTACTCAGCTGTTTATCTTGCAAAGTGAAGCTGCTTCATGTAATTGTGATGCCAAACAGATTTTTTTTTAAATAAATAAAACCTCTTTTTGCTTCATACTGTAAACTTAATCAACGCCTTATGTCTCAACACCGCTCACAGACCTGTGACAGCCATGGTAATCATGTCATTCATATGAATGGGCGGGCTGTAATCCATAAATAAACACACCGTTTGATGATGTCACGAATTTTAATAGACAGATTATAAAACACTGTTACAAGACAGTCAAACCTTTCACACCGTATGCATCTATATGGCTGGACTGATAAGATGAGAGGAAATTGGTCATGAAATATGCAGAAGGCTTGGGGTGTTGTTAGTCTCATACTGACTTTTTGTGTGTTGCTCTATCTGGTGCTTTGGAATAATCTTTCAGAAAACATTCACAGGTAAAGATTTGTATATACTGTAAAAGTTGTAAATTTGATTATTGGGGGTGCGTTTTTACCATTTCAGTTGTTCAGATTTAGAACTTAACAATGATTAGTACATGAATATCATTATTGGTAATTACACTGTATAAAGCAATTTAGTTGAATTACTTTCTAAAAATGTAAGTAAACCTGTTGCTTTAACAGCAAATAGTTGGCTTTGCTTAAATAATTTGTAAACTTCTTGCTTTTAAAGAGATTATCTAAATTTAAAGAAGTGAGTAAACCCCTTGCTTTTAAAGGGATAGTTCACTTAAAAGTGGAGATCCTGTCATTATTCACTCACCTTTCACTTGTCTCAAAACTGTTTGACTCACTTTCTTAAAATATTTTGAAGAAAGCTGTACACATCACTGTAAAACATGCTGGGTTCCACACAATTTCTTAATGTTGTCCCGACAAAAATCGATTAAGTTAACCTTATTGTTTTTACAAATTTAAGTGGATTAAACATAAAACGATTAAGTTGTCCCCAAGAAAACCTCACAAATTGTGTTCATTGAGCTCATTTTAAATAAGTAGTTTGAACAAGCAGCAAGATATTTATAACAATTGACTTCCATAGTATTTGATGTTATTACTATAGATGTTAATGGTTACAGGTTTTATCTTCAAAATATCTTCTTGAGTGTTCAAGACAATAAAGAAACTCAAAGATTTGTAGCCACTTGAGTAAATAGTAAAAAAAATTCATATTTGATTGAATTTTCCATTTAAAGTGATTAGTCGACTTTACTTAAAGTAAGAAAACCTGTTGACTTAAAATGATCAAGTAAATGAACTGTGTGTGATTATACAAATGAAGTCAACAGTTTAAAGTTACAACGGGCGTCACTTTTTTTTTTAAGTAAAGTCAACTTGTCGCTTTTAAGGCAACAGGTTTACTTACTTTTTTAAAATTGAAGTTACTAATCACGTTTTACAGTCTATTTGGGAAATTTACTGTCACAAATTCTGATTGAAAATAGTTTCTATACAGCATTTGTATCATTGTTTGTTTTAATACTAAAATATTTCCCTGTCTGCATGACCACAAAATCATAGTCCTGTGTTTGCTTTACATTTTCCTCTTAATTAGCAAAACTATCATCATTTCTTCATTGATTTTGTCGCCACTTGGAAATACCAATTTGTTCAAAACCCAAAAACACTTGAATGTGGAGCGAAAGGTCAACATAACCCCCATTCCGGTTCTTTATAAGAAAAACTTCACCAAACTGCCAGTGTGGGACTTTGAAGATGTCTATTTGCGAGACAGTAATGCAAGAAAACCGGTAAGTGCTTCTTTTCTAAGACCAGTTTTACATCACATTGCAGTTTTTCAAAGTCAATCTAATCTTGCAAAAAATAATAAATCTTTTTTTTTTTTTGCACAGACCTGTCCAAAGTCTCTTCACAACACAGAGGACCCGGAGTTCAAGGAATCAGTTCTTCCTGACATTCAGCTGTGGCTGTACAAAGGTCAACTCAACATGTCAGAATGGAATCGATTAGCACACTTTAACAATCCCTTTGGCTTCATGGAGTACAATTACAATGGTAAACACTGCTCATTACTGGCAGGATTTCTTAGTGCCTTTAGATGTGTAGAAACTGCGGCACATCCTGTATATGTTTGAGAAAGGGGTGGAGTGTATTTATTATTGCTTTACTTACATTTGATGTCCTCTGAACTTTTTAATGCATTGTAAATATTCTAATCAATCTTTTTATTTATTTAAATAACAATCAGGGTTCAGTTGCATAACGTTGATCATTGGCCACCTGTTTTATGATAGCATTCAGTTAGTTGCACAAAGTATTTTTACTTAAACTTTACAGTAAAATGTAATTAGTTAATTTTAGTTAGTTTATTAACAATATTTAGCTTCTGAAGATCAATACATTTGCCACCAAAAAAAAATTTTTTTTTGAAGTTGTTAATACAAATGACATTTTAAAAACTTTTTGATTGATAGCTCGGGTCTATTCAGATATATCTTTTTTTATTAGTAAATAAGATTGACACATGCTTCAGAAAGGGTTCATTACAACTAGCATTGTAGCAAAATCCTGATGTTAATCAGTAAAATGTTGTAAAGTTTTGTATTTATTTATTTATTTATTTATTATTATTATTATTCATTTATTTATGTATATTATAAATCAGTTTTATAGCGATAGATTACACAAAAAAGAAAATAGAGTTGCCATTTACTCTCACTGATGTATTCTGTGTCTTCCTTGTGTTGATTCACATAATGACAATGAATCATGCCGTGAACAATATTAAGCTTTTTTAAAAAGATGCAAAACATCACAGAACGATCTCTCTATGACACAAGCCATACTTTACCTGATTTCTGGGGTATAGGATAGGCTTTAGTGAGAAACAAGTCTACGTTTAATGTATTGTTTAAAAGTATAGTTCAACAAAAAAAAAAATTATTTGACAGTTAATATATTCACCCTCAGGCCTTTTAGGGCAGGCCATAATAATGCCAGTGACTCACGTCCCCCAATATCCTCTGAGGTGGTTATAAATATATAAACCTTGTACACAATGGCACACACACACCAATAGCCCCAAGTCTATTCATCCTTTAATTTTGAGGAAAGCCACTCTGAGACCATCAAAAAAAATGGAAAGGCTGATGGCTTTTTATTTGCATGTTGTTGTTTTTAATATAACTATTAACTGTTTTTTTCATCTGTAGGTTATGAATAAAAATAGTAATTGTAATAGTTTAATAAAAAAAAATCTCTTCAGCTGAACATTAAAGAAAATGTTTAATTGAAGAGTTCCTGAATTGCATAATGCAAATCATTGGTCACCTGTTTTTGAGATTAAAAATAAATGCATACAAACAATTCAGAATCAGGTGGCTCCTGAATATACAAAGAGGCCAAATAAAGCCAAACAATCAGACGGTGCAGGAAATGCAACATTCTTTATAATATTTTTTTTAGCTTTAATCCACACCCTGCAGTGCGAGCCACTTTCCAAGACGTGCAAACTGCTATAAATTATGCTGGCTGGCACGATTCTCTTAAGATAAATGACTGTTTACCCAGGGTGTGGAAAATTGTGAATAATGTTCAGTTTCTTTTACAAACTGATTGTTTGGTGTCATAAGATCTCAGCGTATCATCAGGAGTTCAAAAGGTAATCATTGACTTTCATTATACTTTATGACTACCAAGGACCACAAATTTAGCTAAAAATCTTTAAAAAATCTAAAAAAGTCAGCGGCATGAGAGAGTAAACAAACTGTAAACCTTCATTTTTGGATCAACTACTTTAAGGGAAAATGCAAACCTTGACCACTGGTTGTTGTGCATGACTCTATACATTTATAAGCTCTCCTTTAGCACTACAAATCATGCTAAATAGCCTAAAATAAGCAGAAAAGTTCTGAGAAATCTAGGTAAATATAAATGTCACAAATTAACTTTATTTTCTGGGGTAGATGTTTTGATTGTGTTTAAAACATGAAATTACAGAAAAAACACAAAAAGGATTGATCTGAGTGAACCACAGTTGTGCATTAAGACAAATTGACGTAGTTAGGGTTTTTGTTATAAATAAAATATAGTTTTGTTTATCACTAAAGCCAATCATAATACTCATTGGAACTCTTGGAATATGTGCCATGTGTCATATGGGACCATTGTTTGACTTTATCTTTTCGTTTTTAAAGTTTAATGCTGGCTCCTGTTCACTAATATTTGGATGAGCGCGAACTGGACATTTCTTTTCATTTTTTTTTGGTGGTCTGGTAAAAACAAGAAGGGCATATGTAATTGTAACAACTGCAGGTTTAGTACACTGAAAAAAGGATTCATTGGAACTATTAGGTAATTGGTTGCAAACAATTTATATGGGCTGAACTTAAACAAACAAACTAAATTTAGTAATGTTCAGCTTAATTTGCTTGTTTAAATACAGCTCATATAAATTGTTTGCAACAAATTACCTTAAAAATTGTAAATCTAATAAATCTTTTTTTCAGTGTATATTTTTGTTATAAAGGTATAGTTTACATTAAAAAATAAGTTTGTGGTTGGTTGTTCCTCGCCACTGGCTCGCGAATGGCTGTGCATTGATGGATTTGCTCTTCAGTGTTTGAACTTTCAGCTGTGAAGATGAAGCCACACTGAACTGAGCTAAATTGAACTTCTATGTTAAGCTTCATTGTAAAAGAGCTATAGAAATAAAAATGAATTGAAATAAAGACAGAAATGACATTTGGGTGAATTATGCCTTTATTTAGAGACTTGATATGTTTTCATAATTGACAAATTCTGTTGCTTAAACTTAACTTGTAGCCTTATGTTGCATTTCATGTGTATGGATGTTTGTTTTGTTTTTCATGGGTGATTGAAGAAATAAAAAGAGCAGTGGATTTGATCCCAAAGCCCAGGTCTTCAATATTACTGCCTGTACCTAAAGGCTCAAAGGATGGCTGTATCCGCTGTGCTGTTGTGGGCGCTGGGGGCATTCTCAATAACTCAAAGATGGGCAGAGAGATAGACTCTCATGACTATGTTTTCCGGTAAGAAATAGAAGGAATGAATGTAATGTTAACAGATTGTGATTCTGAAGTCATGTGTATTCCGGTTTTGTGTTTAAACAGAGTAAACGGTGCTGTTACTAAAGGTTACGAGGAGGATGTCGGAAACAGAACATCAGTCTATGTGCATACAGCATTTTCCTTATATGCCACTATACTGACGTTAAAAAAATATGGCTTTCACAATATTCCACAAGACGAGGTCAGTTTGTTGTACAATGGACTACACTTGCAGATGTTTAGTATAATTTGCAGTATACACCTAAACTTAAGTTTGAGAATCATTTGTTTATACGGTTGCAGTCAAAAAAAATTACATTTTATTTTTGGATAGATTACTGTTTATGTGGTTCTATTATTGTATTATGCATTTGTGCATAATATCACCTCTCTTAAAATTACTTTGTAGAAACATTTTGGTTTTGGTCAATAGGGTATCAAATATGTCATGATTCCTGAAGGCCTGAGGGACTTTGAGTGGCTTCAAGGCCTTTTACAGGGAAAAGCAGCCAATGGGTCATTCAAAGGTGTGAGGTACAGTATCCAGCAGTATTTTCCCAACCTGTAGATAAAAACACTACAACAACACTTGAAAAATAGCATTGCTGGCATTCATGTACTGAAAATTATAACTGACCGATAAGAATAAAGTATTCTAATTAATACTAAACAAATCATCACCTTGGAATTATAAGGTTCTATCTCCATTGTGAATGATTTTGAGATATTGAGCTTCCAAGTTTTTGCATCCCTTGTAGAAAACAGTATGTGTATAACATTAGTTTTTATTTTTTTTTATAAAAAATCTTAAAATGTAAACACCTTATAAAAAATCTCATAATGTAAATAAGTTGTCATTTAATAAGAATATGTCAGTAACTTAATTTTGACAAAAATGTCAGATACAACTTCATAATTCTAAGGGGACGAAACGATACAGTAAGATTCCACTAGAAAGCAGTTTGATTCTGTCCTCAGCAGCTTTAACATAATCAATGAAAAATACCAATCAGAAGAGTTCTTGGGCATGCTCGATCTCAACAAGCATACTATTCATAATGAAATATATGCATTTATAATAATAAATATTAGATAACAATACTGTTATTAAACGTACATGCTAAAAATGGTGTTAAATAAAACTACAAGTAGCACTTTAACCACACTAAACTGTAACTGGTGCTATATATCACTGAAGAAACCACTAAGCAGTGCTAAATGGCTACCACAATAAAATGCTGAAGAACCATTTGTTTGTGTTAAATGACAACATCTTCTTTGTTTCAACTTATTTTAAATGATCGATTGGTGCTTCTATTTGAGTGCAACTGCTGGGTGCTGCAAATAAACACTTTACATATGGAAATGTATTATTTTAACAATAACTGATAACCCTTTAAAGACGGAGATGCTTCAAGATGCTTTTCTTGAACCCAATTGATTATATTGTTTCAGCGTTAAATTAATAGTTTTGTATCTCTCCAGAATTTTAAATGATTGTAGTTTTTTTTCTTCAACAAAGTCTGCATGAACCGGAATCTGTGACTGTTTTTTTTATTATGATGCAGTACCTGGATCAATGAAATATTCAAACAGAAAACAGTGGGCGTGGCTTGTTTTTGTACTGCAAGCTGATTGGATGTAGTAAAGTAGAAAATTAATTCAGAAAGAATTGGATAAGGGTTTTGGGAGAGTGATTTCAACCTAATAGACACCTCCTACTCGCAGTTAGAGGGGCGTGGTTAGGTATGTTAACCACACTCAATACCTCATACAGACTTAATCTGAGATTTTAACTGTAAGTGCTTGTTCAGATTTTCATTTTAGATTACAAGAGCAATTTTTTTTTCTTAATGACATGCACAGATGAATTGTTCACCACAAAACTAGCAATGTAAGCTAACAATCAATAAGGCTTGTTTTGATTTCATGCTGTACAGTCTGCTGTATTTTGTCTGGTTTCCATATGCTACATATTTCTAAAATAATATATATTTTTATTGTGTCATGGTTTCGCATCGTGTCTGGTTGGAACAGTAAAAAAGCCTTACTGCTACTTTATTATTGCTATTGATATTCAGAAAGAGTAGTTCAAAAATAATTTAATTTAAAAAATAATAACCATCATTTGCATTTGTTCTTCCGTAGACCACTGAATTTTTTCAATGGGCATTTCAACGAGAGCAGATTTAACGTTCTACACCCCGATTTCCTTCGTTACATTCGCAACAGGTAACAAAAGTGAACAGTTTGTCAGGTCATTGAACAACCTGAGATCTGCTTCTTCTCAATGAAACTTATTTTTTCTTTTCTTTTTCTCCAGATTCATGCCATCTAAACAGATGCAGGGCAATTACTGGGCAATGTACCGCCCGACCAATGGAGCATTTGCCTTGTTTTTGGCTATTCACACATGTGATATTGTAAGCAAATTGATTTTTTTCTATTAGTTCAACTCGTTCTTAAACAAATAATTCTACTGTTTTTTTATGTATCGATAATACTTTATAAACATCACTTGCTTTATGTCCAATATCAGGTGAATGCCTATGGATTTATCACTGAAGACCATCATAAATACTCCAACTATTATTATGAGAAGTTCAAGAAAACCAGTGTCATTTTCTATATTAACCATGACTATGGGCTGGAGATTAAGACATGGAAGAAACTACACGACTCTGGAATCATCAGACTCTTTCAAAGACACTGACATAGTCATGTGAAAAAGTTTGGACACTGTACGTTAATTATATTTTTCATAACAAGACATAAAAAAACAACACACATGGCTTTTCTATCTTCTTGTTAAACAATGACACCATGTGAGATGTCATGTGGTGTTGTTGAGCTAAGATTTTATTGTCCAAATTTTAAGACCTGCCAAGGACCATAATGTTTTTTTTTTTTTGTTATTGAAAACCATAAAATTGAATAGGCTGTCATAACTTTTTCACGACTACGTAATAAACAACAAGACGGAGGATCACTGTTCTGACAACAGACAATATTTACAAATTGAGAATCTGTAAAAAACTGTCTAAGAAACAGATCAGCTCTTTGTTTTAGTTTTTATGAAGGAGAGACAGGTTATATTTATTGAAATATTTTTAAAGGGTTGGGTTTGCGCATGCTCCAACCTTCCTTCAATTTGATAGAATTCCCTATTTATTTTCAAGTTTGTTGTATTCTTATTTTGATATTTCTTACAAATATTTATAACATCAGCACTTTTTTTGATATTTTGTTCAGCTGGGCTATCATTGCCATGCTTCCGTAACTTTATAGAAATGAGTTATTTATTGATATTTAGTTCTGTCTATTTTAACTATATTTAGTTTTGAGATTTACATTTTAAGTATATTTTAACATACAACATATTCCCTGTCATAAATCCCAACAACTGTTAACAAATCCCAGAAATCTGCATTGATACACTTCATTAAACTTGAGAAACAATAAGATGAAAAAGAAAAAAAGACTGGTTCTTTTCTTACTGAATTAGCTTGTTGATTTATTCCATATAGAAGCACACTCTTATGAAATACATGTTTTGTTTAACCTCCTGGGGCTTGGTGGCCACAAATGTGGAATAAATCAGTGATTAAAGAGATTATCTTAAAGACTTTCTGTATGAAAACAGGTTTTTATGAATAAAGCACAAGTTACATTTCTTCTGAATACCTCCTCATGTACAGTAGAGGTGCAAAGGTGCAGAGAAGCTGACTTAAACTTGCTCAGAGAAAAGCTGTTGTTATCAATCATTGTTTACTTCACTAAATCAGTTTAATGGTGAAGGGATTGATCCAATAAGGTTTGCGGGGAAAAATGTCATGCTCCCTTGTAAAAGTGTGAGCAAAAAATGTTGTTTTTATTCTCTGATAGTCAAAACATGTTCATTTATTAATGCTTAAAAAACAGGAAAAAATGTTTTATGGAAATATGGACTATAAGTCCACATAAATGGACATAATTTTTTCTCTATAAAGTACATCATGATGATACAGTATTTTATTTTAATTTGGTTCTGATAAGCCCAAATAGCAAAGAGAAATAAAAAATGCATGTAAAAAAACAGCTTGGGCCTGAGAAGCAAATTTCCCGCTGATGTCTGACAGTACACATTCAATGTTCATTCAAAGCATGTATTTATTTTAGGATTGAAGGACGCGGAACTAGTCATCACACTTCCTGCTTTGAGTGTTTGTCAGGGTTGAGTAACCTTTGAAAGTCAATTGCTCATACACAAAGAGTTTTTCTTATAAAATGTAATTAATCACTGACTGCCCTTGCCATGTGACTTTTTGTCTTATATTTATAGCATGAGATTAATATGAGCAATTTTATAATTTGTCCTGAATAGTGTAAAGTGATGTTAGATTTAATGAAGCTTCAAAAGAAAAAGAAAAATCAATGTCTTTTGCCAAATCCAGAGTAGTGCACTTGGAAAGAATGCAGCCAAGAACTTTAGTGTGTCTCCAGTGAATACAGCAATGTTTAGATTCTGCTTTAAATGAATCAGATAAACCAATGATTCACTGATTCAGAGTTGTTACAAACCAGACTGTGGCTATAGGCAGGAATGGGCAGTATTTATACATGTATTTCAAATACAAAATAGTATTTTAAAATTTGTATTTGATAGGTTTGATAAAAATGGCTTAATATTTTTTATCAAAATACTTTGGTGTCTTGTATTTTTGTACTTTAAAATACTGTAAAATACTTTTTTCTACAGTACATGATGACATCATAAAATGTAGCCTCTGAATGATGTTTTTTTTCTCAGTTATTTGCCAAGACTTGACATCAGACTTGAAAATTGATTAATATGGAAGAAGTTGATTAAATCTTTGAGTCTGGATGGATATTATCCATCACATAAAGAAACTAATAAAGAGACAAATAGCAGGGATAAATTCAGGAACAAGACAAAATCAGACATGAAAATAAGACAAATTGCATAAAAGATTCCTACAGTGACGATACCTTCAAAAAATAAGTTGGCTGTTTTAAATGACAGTATCTGATCTACAGGTGCTCTTCATACTTCATTATACTTTATATATAATTTATATAACTTTGACATAGTTAATCAGTATGAGACAAAACAATAAATAATATTCCAGTATACTGGTCAAAAACTCCCAACTTTTTGTTATCGGGCTCTATTTTGACGATCCATGCACAAAGTTCGAAGTGCAGGATGCAAAGGCATTAAGGGCGTGCCAGAATCCACTTGTGCTAATATAAGGATAGAAAAATCTCCCTTTAAGAGTCAGTTGCGCCATAGTGAATTTGCTATTTACATGACTGACTTTGTAAGTGGAAAAAATGAGCGTTTCACTAGCAAGAAAACAGTTAAACAGAGCATCTGCAGTACAAGATTGAGAGAAGAGCCTCCTCATTATTTAGGCCTACTTTCACTTTCGTTCTCGTGGATAGGAAAACCTTGACCATGGATGCACAGACATCAAATTGCCCATAAATAATTCGTTTGTTAAGCACAATGATTTGTTTCAAAACTATTTCTAAATTCAGTTTTAAATTTAAGCAAACAAATAAATGAAAAATAATAACGAAGTGTGGTCAAACAACTGAGTTATATCCAAATACACATGCTGTGCCCCATATGGTTAAAACCGGACAGGTGGGTAAATCTTGTTTTTAATGACACAAATATAAATATGCATAATAAATAATACTGCTAATAATACTAACATTATACAAAAGCAAATTGTCACAAACAAACTGAAAAAGCCCCCGAGATGAAGAAGGAATGAAAGTATGGTTTTTATATTTATGTAGGCTAGAAACAAATATGTTTTGTAATATTTTAATTTTTTATATTTATATTCTATATATCCTTATTATATCCCATATATCCCTAATATTTAAAATTTTTTTTCATATGTAAAGATATTTGCATATTGCTCTACATCTTGTGTGTATGTGTAAGCGAGGCACACAACTAACGTGTTCTGCGCTGGACTTTAGACCGGCTTTGTTCTGGTCTAGAGCAGACTATAGTTTCTTAAAATTGGAACGCATTTCCCAGAGATGGGTTGCGGCTGGAAGGGCATCCGCTGCGTAAAAACGTGCTGGATAAGTTGGCGGTTCATTCCGCTGTGGTGACCCCGGATTAATAAAGGGACTAAGCCAACAAGAAAATGAATTAATGAAAATAGGAACGCGCCAGCAATGCAACCTAAACAATCTGCTGACAGTTTTTATGTGCATGGTTTTACAAGCCAACTCTGTTAGACAAGACAGCTGTGTCAACAGTCAGTGTGTTTTATGGAAGAGACTGTCCTCTTCTAAAATTTTAAGAAAATGAAACAAACTAAAAAAAACTATGAATTCAAACTTACTGTGACATTCTACATTTTGGTACCTGCTTAAATAAGGGTGACTATATTTGTGTAAAGTCTAGTTTAATCACGTAGACATGACAAGTTAAATTTTGTTTCTTTTTGTCATGTGCAATAAAGTTATAGTTATTGTAATATAGTTATAGTCATAGTTCTCATGAAATGTATAAAGACAACAGGCAGTGTTTATACCGCACCTTTGAAAACAAACATTCAATTTCCACACCACTTGTCTTATGTCTTCTATACGATCTTCTGGCTTTTGAATTAAATGAAAGCTAAATAAGTAAAAAGAAAAAGATGTATGATAAAAACAGCTACTTTAGCGACACGCGCTTCATTCCATAAAAGGTAAAGTAGGCGGAGAACAAAGGCTTGCGTCTGTAGTCTATTTACATATTCAAATTTACAAGAGGCTCGTTTGACTTGGTCAAAATCTGCGCAGAATCGATCACCGGTGATCACCGCAAGATGCATGCCGGTTAGAAATGTGTCCGCCTTGCCTTCGCCTCGCTCTGATGTCACGCTGACGTGCGCCAAAAAACTCTCGCGATCGCGAGGCGGGTACCTCGGATAGAGCAGTCGGCCGCAGTTGCTCTCAAAAGACTGCGTTACCAAAAGCATGATGGGAAACGACTGGCTGACGACACAGCTTAATGCTGATTGGATGAGACTGACACATTACACTTTATTATCTTGTTTTACTAAGGTTTATACCTGGATTTGTTGAATACCTTTTTTTTTGTATTTTCGTTGATAATTAAAAAAAATTCATAAAGAGCATTACATATGGTTATTTATTTAGATTTACACACAAACAAAAACAAAACACATCTTTGTAAAACAACGTGACCTATCCAATATAACTAAATGTTACTAATAAAGCATTAATGTGTGTGTGCTGTATTTTATTTCTCTCTCAGTTTTAAGTCCTGTTTGTTGTCATTTTCACTTTTTGTATGTTTGTGTGAATTTTGTATTGTAATTTTTATGCAGCGTTATTCCATTAAAGTCAATCCAATATATACATATATTCAGACATACAAAGGTAATCAGACTGTTTTGTCATTATGCCTCATCTTTGTGTGGTTTCATATGAGAAGTGAAAAGGGTGTAGTAAACAAGACACACACACACACACACACACACACACACACATATATATATATATATATATATATATATATATATATATATATATATATATATATATATATATATATGTGTGTGTGTGTGTGTGTGTGTGTGTATGTGTGTGTGTGTGTATGTATGTGAAGTCAAAAGTAATGTTTAATAGACCAAGAATATTTTCACAGTTTTTCCTATAGTCTAATAGTTTTTATTCTGGAGAAAGTCTTGGGCTGTTTCTTTTAGTCTGGCTGGAGTAATATCAGTTTATATAGACCTAATAAGCTTGTCAATATAATTAACCCCCTAAGAGTTTATTTGTCAAACAAACATTTGTCATGACCCGTCACTCAAAAGCATCTATGGCTACTTCATTTATAATGTAGCCAAATTAGGTTTCTTGAAAGTTTTCTTGCTGTATAAGCTGTTTATTTTTTTATTGTTTTAACGTTTGTTGAATATACAGAATTACATTTTAAATACACCCTTTTAGTTAATGAGCTGTTCTTCTTCTGTAATTCTGAACCATTTTTTTTTGTAAAAACTGTGATATTTCTATTGCATCCACTCCCATATTAAAAATACTATAGTAATGTATACTGTAGTGCTTTTGAACCATGTTATAAAATAGCCTATTTAAATTTTATAGTTGCTCTGGTATCACAACAACTATAAACACAACCCAATACTGAAAAAACATGTTCAAAATGCAATAATATTTACTATAAATCACCATTGTATTTTTTCATGAGGTCATTCGTCTGCGATAAAAAACGCGAACGAGATCTCCCCCACTGGTGACGTTTCCAGGTGGCTAAACAGCGAGATTCAGCAGGTGTCCGACTTCTGATGTAATTTTTGAGCCCTCCTCTTACTGCGCACGCCTGCTCTCGTTTACAATGCAGCCAAGGCGAGGCGCACCTCAAACGAGCCTAAGGTCTTTTCGTGTGAGTAGCAGTGTTTACGTGGTGGACGACTCA